GGGGGCCACCATTTGTACAATTTTGAATCCATACCTCCCAGGAATGCTTTTGATCAAATATGATTGATATCCAGTGCACAGTTCTACAGAAAAAGTCGTTTGTAGCAATATAGCCAAATTGCCCCCTTTTGGCCCCACCCCTAAGCCCCCTGAAGAGTCAGCCCCAACATTTGTACAATTTTCAATCACCACCACCTAGGGATGCTTCCAGTCAAATATGGTTGATATCCACTTGTTCGTTCCAGAGAAGAAGTCGCTTAAAGCAATATGGGCAAATTGACCCCTTTTGGCCCCGACCCTCAGCCCCCTGGGGGGTCAGCCCCACCATTTGTACAATTTTGAATCCCCACCACCTAGGGATGCTTCCAGTCAAATTTAGTTAAATTCCAACCTGTGGTTAAGAAGAAGAAGTCGTTTAAAGTAATTGTTGACGTACGGACGACGGACGCCACGGTATAGCATAAGCTCACCTTGGTCCTTTGGACCAGGTGGGCTAAAAAGCAGCAAACTTTGTTATAATTATCAGTCAATACATTTCCAATTGACATATGTATCAGCGTTTTATAATTATTAGTGTCTCAACTGTGATGGTTCCACTATAGCTATTAATTGGCATCAATGACCTGTTAAGCTATGAAGATTTAGAACAGTTAGGCCAATATTAATTCATTAGCGACGGTTAGTTTTGGACGCAGGCACCTCTATTGGACTAACCGTCACTTACACCAGCACAAACCTCATTCTGCTGCTCTGGCAGTTTCATATTGTCAAAGATCCGGAAAACAACTTGGAAAAGGTCTTTCCACCAATGTTGTTGGAATGTCTCGCCATACGTCTTCATTATCTCAAACATCACTGTCAGACCTCTGTAAAACATAACCTACAAATGTCTTAATCTGTTTAAAAATTATGGCCCAAACAAACAAAAACAGGGAAGACACTATAGGCGCAATACCTAAGTGTGCCATTTATAGTTCTACCTGTTCTAATATTTTTTTAGGTCAGCTGATAGTTTTCCTGCAGAAGTGATAAATCATCATAATGTGCCAAATTTTCTGCCAATACCATCAATTTACCTGGTCCGGACATCCAATTTACAACGGTTAATAACACAGGAGAGCTCGAACAGGACAGGGAACCAACCCTTCACCCAAACCCGGTCCTCTTCAGGAACATTGATTTCATCACCAGCATGATCACGGAACATCTAAAACAAGACATAAACATTATGTATTTTTCTACCTTATTCACAGTAATCTGGTGTCAGAAAGGATCAATTGAATTTGTGGACAATATAATTGTCTCAGGTTATCTTATGTTTATTTTTGATACTATAGGATTTTGAGCAGTCCAAACTCTGACATTAATATTTTTATCAATCGAAATACCCCTATATATTACTATGAATGAAGGTAAATGTATAAATAGACAAATTAATATTAACATCCAGAAGACATGATCACCTTTTTTTGCTAAATATGCTAAACCAATCAGGTCCTAGGTCTGCATTAAAGAGACATTTGTAATTTGACAGAGAACCTATTTTCTCCTACACTGCTGTATCAAACAATGATCACTTCAACTAACAGCACATTATTGTCAACACTTCCAGGGTTATCACCATTAAGGTTTTTATCCTTATATAAATCTGCATTGATTGGGGATGCTGTTTCTGATGTACATAGATACAGCCTTGCCATTGGTCACTCAACTTACATGTGGTTTTTCTGCAACATATTTGGCACAGTTCCTGATGAGTCGGATTGCCTCCATGCTAGTGTCTGGGAATGCCGCGTTACACGCAAACTCCGACAGACATTTCACAGCATCTTGGAATGAGTCTATCACAGCCGCAAAGTGTTTTTCAAATATACTAGCTGTAAAATACCAACGAAAAATATACTAGCTGTAAAATACCCACGAAAAATATACTAGCTGTAAAATACCAACGAAAAATATATACTAGCTGTAAAATACCCACGAGAAATATACTAGCTGTAAAATACCAACGAAAAATATACTAGCTGTAAAATACCCACGAAAAATATACTTAGCTGTAAAATACCCATGAAAAATTTACTAGCTGTAAAATACCCACGAAAAATATACTAGCTGTAAAATACCCACGAAAAATATACTAGCTGTAAAATACCAACGAAAAATATACTAGCTGTAAAATACCAACGAAAAATATACTAGCTGTAAAATACCCACGAAAAATAAGTGAAGTGGTTTCCAGTCTAAACTTGAGAAGTTCTATTTGTAAAGAAAGTTATTTTTAAAATGATAACTATTTTGTAAACTTGATTTTTTTGTCAATAGAAATATTCAATTCTTTTTGACATTACATTGAGATACCATAACAATATAATTATTACATAGAAAATACAACAAATGAATGCAACTTGTTCAAAACGGGACATGCACTTTTCAATTTAAGACTTTCATTTTGTATTTGAATCATAAGTTAAAATATCAATCATATGTTGAATTTTTGACTCACAGATAATTTTGCCAGTAGTTTGGAATGCCAACTCTACAATGCCCTCGTCATGGTCAGAGGCCGCAAGGTGAAAGACACTGAAGATGTTTTTCCAGCCTGAGCGAATGTTTCCCGCCTGGGAATTCACCATCTGGGCGACACACCTCACAACCATATCTCGTATCGTGGGAGATCTGTTGTAAAATATGAATTATTAACTTGTAATTTTGGAGCTTTGCAACTTCATATAAATTAAACAAACATAAAACCATCATGATGTTTAAAATCTGTTTCCAATTTATAAATGTCTGATATTTATATTTGGTATTGACATTCATGAAAAAGGAAGTTACAAAGTTCAATAAGGCGAGAAATTATTTGTCAGTGATTTTTCAGCCTATATAAATGGTGTCGGGTACTGATCCCATCCCCAATGAGATGTCATCAAAATAATTCCCAATTACCCCGCTGAAATTCCCAACTGGTCATTGTTTTTGCGTATAGAATGCAAGTCGTCTGCAAATGCTTAGCTGATCATGAATCACTGAGAAATATGGCGTCGTCTCACAACGGCAAATACTACGCCAAAAAGATACGGCTATTGGACAGTAAGGGCTCCAAAAGCCTGCCTGATCTCATTAAACGCAAAAATCCACCACAGACGTTATTAGAAGCCGTGCGTACCGGTCTGATTCCTCTTGTCGAGACAGAGCCGACGTCAGTATCTCCACAAAAATCTAGACCACAAGACCGCAACATAAGGCACATTTATCCATGGATATTATACAATGTATTGTTGCTTCATACTTCTTTGCCAATTATGAATTAAATTCTGTGCTACCCTTAAACAAAACCTGAAGTCCTGGGATTTGGTAATTTTTTACTGTAAAAGCCCTTGTAACACAATTATTTTACCCCAAAAAACATCTGTTTTCGCGTTAAATTTTCCCAATTTCCAGAAAAGTATTTTTTCCCAAAATAGCCTGAAAAATCACTGCTTGTTGACTGGTTTTAACTAATCCTGTAAATCTCTGCTTGTTGACTGGTTTTAATTAATCCTGTAAATCTCTGCTTGTTGACTGGTTTTAATTAATCCTGTAAATCTCTGCTTGTTGACTGGTTTTAATTAATCCTGTAAATCTCTGCTTGTTGACTGGTTTTAATTAATCCTGTAAATCTCTGCTTGTTGACTGGTTTTAATTAATCCTGTAAATCTCTGCTTGTTGACTGGTTTTAATTAATCCTGTAAATCTCTGCTTGTTGACTGGTTTTAATTAATCCTGTAAATCTCTGCTTGTTGACTGGTTTTAATTAATCCTGTAAATCTCTGCTTGTTGACTGGTTTTAATTAATCCTGTAAATCTCTGCTATGATATGATGCATACTTTGATAATGATAATGTACATCGTCAGATGTAAACATTTTCAACACATTAGTTTAACAATAGAAAGTAAACAACCAAACAGATGAAGTACTTAACTTAATAAATAAGGAAAGCAAAATAAAATTCAAAATTCACAATTCCAATGAATTCCTCTGACTGAGGGATTTTTTTTGGGTTGGTTGGGTTTAGGCAAACAATCAGTGTTTCATTTTAGGCTTAAGCAAAACCAAAAATCCATGAAGAGACGGACATCTTTTGATTTACCTGTTTCTTTTCATGATATGTTCGAAAGGCCTGAGGAAGTCTTTCTGGAATCTAAAGTTGGCAAACTCTCCCTTCTCTATAAACTTCATAGACAGCTGGCGAAGGGAATCGACTGCGAAAAACACTAGGTCTTCATTAGGGTTACAGCCCACCTACAAATCACGAGCAGAATACATCAAGGAACATATTTCAATATAGAAAGGGACGTGTTTTCTTAAGCAAGTTTGTAATTTAATACATCACTTTAAAGTTAATAACATAAAATGCATATCAATGATTTTTTCATTCTCGTAAATTTGTTTGCCTTATACTTAGCTGTAAATGTCATTTAATTTCAAACCACAATAAGCAGTTTAAATGGAGTTTCTATATGACATTAAAGTAAACTAATTGCAGGGGACCAGAATTTGGGAAATTTTACCTGAAATTAAACAATTTTTTCAAACTCTCTAATAATAAACCTTTTAATGCAAATTTTGCCTTAATGATACAGCAGTTAGAGCTGTCCGACTCTGGACCTTAATGACACAGCAGTTAGAGCTGTCCGACTCTGGACCTCAATGACCCAGCAGTTAGAGCTGTCCAACTCTAAACCTTAATGATACAGCAGTAAGAGCTGTCCGACTCTGGACCTTAATGACACAGCAGTAAGAGCTGTCCGACTCTAAACCTTAATGATACAGCAGTTAGAGCTGTCCAACTCTGGACCTTAATGACACAGCAGTTAAAGCTGTCCGACTCTGGACCTTCATGACACAGCAGTTAGAGCTGTCTGACTCTGGACCTTAATGACACAGCAGTTAGATCTGTCCGACTCTGGACCTTCATGACACAGCAGTTAGAGCTGTCCGAAAACATTTCATCTCTCATTTTTTCTAATTTATCAAACTTCAAAAACAAAAAGTGGATCACAGACAACATATAATAAATGTCTAAAGGTTTCAGACATAAATTTCAGGAGTCCTATTTAAGATAATGAACTTTTTTTATGCTACCTTAGCTGTAAACAACAGCAGCCTTGCGAGGACAACTATTACCTTATTGAAGTGGTCACCAAGGACCTGCCAGATCCGAGACCACTGCAGCCTGATACGCCCCATGTTATAGTAGGAGATCTCCACGATCTTGGTCAGACTGAACATGCGTGGGTGGTTGACATTGGCTAGCTCGTCTAGTGATACATGACAAAGGGCATGTGTGAACGCCACTGCAAAATAAAACAGACAACATCACCAAACTGAACTTACATTTCAGATCTGTTCAAGATGCTCTGATCTTAATAATATAAAAGGACTAGGCCCAAGTGTTATGAACACTCCTTAATTTATGGAAATTCCTTAAACTTATAGGACAGCATTAGTAAAGTTGTAAAACATTTCCTTTAATGAGGATGATTCTCAACTCAACTATGCTTTCCTCTGGAAAAATTTAATCTTACTGTTCATGAAATTAGAGTCAGGGCCTCTTTCATTTCCTATCGCATTTTCAACTGTTATAAGAAATAGGGACTGACTTAGTATTCTGATATAGTTTTCTGGTGACTCTTTGAAAAAGACTTGAGTTAAAGGTCAGTCACCAATGAAAAAGTAATATCTGAAAGCAGATATACCCATCATCCAGGCTGTATACATTGTAGAAATGGCAGAATTTCCAATTAAAAGTGAAAAAGCTGGATATGTAACATGCATTGTGATTAGTTGATTAACCTACCAACAGCGTCCCCGTCCAACCTGACAGATCCTGTAAAGATGCGGTCGACAGCGACCACCACGCTCTGCGAACTTGTCTCGCCCATCTGTTCCTGGAGGTTTGCTAGTCTCTTAGAATCCAGGCCTCCCCGCGCTATCACTGCAAACAAGGTCACAGGATAATCATACATGTTCTCAGAAACAGTCGTTTCGAATGGTAAATTTCTTGAAGTCCAGATCTGCAACCATGCTCATTATGACAGGTAGTTTACAGTGTTACAGGCTGTGAGGTCAACAAGTAAAGACTTGCAAAACTAGAACATTTCAATAGTAATGGCCGTTACTTTGAGTACCGAGTTGAAGACAATACTTATATTTTCTTTGCTACACCTGCTTCTGTAGAATGGTAATTATTAATCACTGGACATTTAACATAGTTAATGCAATACCAACCTTCTGGGTCGAATGCTTCAATCGGGTGTCCTGCACTGTCTACGTTACCACGGCTATGATGGTGGTGTGCTGACCTCGGTTTGACCCCTGTGCCAATTAGTTGTGCTAGTTCTAGTTGTGATATACATCGCAGAATCTGAAACATCAACAACACTACATCATTCAACAAGTAGAATACTGAAACATCAACAACACTACATCATTCAACAAGTAGAATACCTTCGTTAAGGCTTTAAATTCTGTCTATTTCTGCTAGTTAAAACTAGAAATGTGTAAGACCCGGATGTCCTGCTCCCACACCTTAGACCTAAGGCAAGGTCACAAAGGTCAGGGTAAAAAACATCATGTAACTTGGTGCACACACAGAGGAGCACTCACATATGAAATTGTGTGACAATAATTACAATAGTTAATCCATATCTGACCTTAATACAAAACCTTCACCAAGGTCAATGGATGAAGGTCACAGAAATGACATGCATCATGCTTATGCATAAAGGCATATAAGCATATGAAGGCACATAAGCACATGAAGTTGTATGATTTTAGCAGTAGTACTTAGTCCATAACTTACTTAAATGACTAACACTATATGCCCGGTGGCACTTTGTGGAGGGACATGAAAATGAAAATGGTTAAATCCCATTATGGCTGGCACATTTTATGTTTGCTCCTGGACATATTTTATCCTATAAAGAACTGCATATGTTTTACTCCTTCAATAGTAGAGCAATATATTTTATATACATCACACAAGACAAATATATGTATTGCTAAACATACAAAACAATTACAGTACACCAATTCACCAAAGCAGTCAAGATAACCTTACCTCAAGCCAGGACCTGCCCAGGTAGTTTCCATCAGTGTGAGCAACAGATATGAGGGTTTTAATTGTGTCTATGTTCTTGGTCTTCATTTCCGTCAGTGGCGATGCTGCGGTCAGGAGTGTAAACCTGGCTAGGGCCTGTACATAGGCGTCTCTCTCAATCTGAGGGCAGAATCAACATTTTATACTGCTCAGTCAGGGTTCATTTTTGAGAAATTTGTGTTGATCTTTCTAACGACATCACAGGCTAGGTAGAAAGTACTGGATGGGCTAGTAAATGTTTATTGATTCTAGCATTGTATCAACCGACTTAACTTACAGACATTGTAGAATATTCTACCAGTAACTTCTACCCAGTATGCAAGAAAACACACTACCTACCAGTCCCTATCAAACCGTTTTTTGGAAGCACACAGTACACTACAGGACAAGACATTACAACATTAATAAGAGCATTGTATACAGGTGCATTCTGTAAAACAGAAATCCCCTTGTTTGGAAACATTCAAATTGTATCTCTTTATACTGATTGGGGTGTGGAGATTTTTGTGTAGTTAATGGCTCTGAAATCTATATAAATTCTAAATATCTATAATCTGTAAAAAATTGTGTAACAATATTTTTATGCCAATTTACCCGATGCAAAAAAAGCGAGCATTTCCGCATCATACACTTTTCACTATCTCTAAGTAATATGCCAATCAGAATATAGCATACTAATTATGAAAAGCTCTTACTCAACTTAAAACTTAGCCCTACTGTTTGTATGAAGTAAATGCTGAGCAAGTTTCATCAATCCTAAAGAAACTTAAGGAAGTTACTGGGCAGAAACAAAAATGTTACCGCTAACTACATAGGCCTTACCATAATAAATCCCATCAATTTTTATACAGACACATACAAAAAGATTTCAAGTCTCTACAACTGAATATTTCGTAACAGTGCAGTAAACAAGATTTTAAAATTGACCTACCTCCATATGAAATATACAAGCTATACGAATTGCACATCGTAGACCGTCCAGACAGAGACTGGCTATAGTGGTGTCATCACAGTCCTGAAGTCCGACACTGAAAGCTGCTAAGTACGGTGTCCACGCCATCTATAAACAACAGTAAAATTATTTACAGATGTACACCTGACAAGAGGCATAAGGGGCCTGGATATGCTCACCTGTTTTAAGTGGCCTTTCTTTTCAAACTTCCTAGCACTATATTTCAGCAAGCTACTGGCAAAAGGATTTCATGACTCTAGGCCTTTCTAGTTAAGAAGTCAACTGCATATTCCAACAAACTTGATCAAACTTCAATAAGTGCAGTGCTTATTTTACATGTTGTCAAAGTTTAAAGCATGATAAATGCCAAATAAGATTACCTCTTAAATTTGTATGTTTACACTAAATAATGAAAGACACCCGAAAAACACAAAAATCCGAAAATTGCATTTTGTTTTAAAAGAAACTTAACGTAACACATTGGTACTTAATTTCCTAAAATTAAAAGCCTTCTCTGAATTTACGACACAAGCAATCAGGTGAAGCATTTCTTGGCATTACACTTTCTTTTTTTCATTATTTGCCTGTCCTTTTACTTATCTTCTGTTTTACCTTGAACATAGGTCGCACATGCTCCAGGTGTGTGGCACTGGTGAAGTTTGACGACACGTGACTCACACTCTCCATGAGAGCCTTGGCTGTGTGGGCCATCTGTTCCATCTCCAGGTTATACAACAGGCGACGCTGCTTGTCACTCGTAATGTCCTCTACAAATAGTCAAACCACAATTGTATCAGTGGTACATGTCATGCTGATAAGCCTGTCTACCAGACAACTTTCTATATATCTTCAACTCACCCTGATCAGTATGAATCTCATGAGCTATTCTATACCCCCTTCAAACGTCCTTAATAAGCAGCATTTATCCTAGAGGATATTCTATGTAACAGGATCACCCTATGCACTATTTCAATCATTCATTATCAGAGCCTTCAAATATCACAGGCATTCACATTCTTAAAAAAAATAAAAATCAACGTTTCTTTTTGAACGAAAAGAAAAAGTATAATTCAATCATGATAATTTACAAGAATTAATAAGTCTTTCTTAAAATAAAATTTGAACACATACACCACCATGAGAGGTCGCATTGCTCTTCAAGATAATTGAACTGTTAGCACTACTCTTTAATTATTCTATGCAAATATTTGTGATTTTTTCTTTAAGTACCAGCCAGCTATTCTAGATACGAAGATAAAAGCTGGTGTATGAGGGTCACAGAAAGTGCCTCCTTATATTTCTGTCTGGAATAATACTTACAACCAATTGTTTTATGTTTTTATATGACTTCTTCAGAGAGGGAGGTTTGTGCAGTCTTTTCGCTGTCTTTGTGAAATGGTTGTTCAGTACCGTAATCTTGTTATGATTTTACATTTTTTTAAATTTATCAAGACAATTTAAATAATTTAACTTTATTAGAACATAAAATACCACCGTGTGGTTAATTGAAACAAGAGGCCCATGTGCCTTAACGGTCACCTGATATATTTATACAGAGAGTTGATTATGTTTTTAACATAACAGAAATATTATTCAAAGTGACAAAAAAACAATAAAACCACCTTATTCAATATCTAGCTACAAACAGATTTAAGACTGAAAAGTATTTGAAACTAGCACCTCTTAAAGAAATTTTAGCACACCGACTCCTTTGGGCCCCACTTTACAGCAAAGTATCAAACTGTCAACTCAGGGCTATAATTTCAAAGTATCATTTGCCATTATAAACCATAATAAATTTTGCCCCCCCCCCCTCCCTCCTTCCCCAAGGGGTAAACGCGAGATCCTAGGGTTATAAACCTTTAGACCCTTCCATCTATGAAGAGTGTTTGATTCTACCATATCTGGGTCTTTGAGAAGAAGATTTTTGAAATTTCAGTCAATTCAATCCTTTTTGGCCCCACCCATCAGCCCCGGGGGGTCACTCAGGGCTCATATGTGCATACTATCAAATTGCTACCTAATACTGATAATGCTAACCTAAATTGAATTACTTCCAATGGAAATTAAACCAATGTTGGTCCAAAATGTGATTTCAAGAAAAGGGTCAAGAAATTCACAATTTTGGTAAAACACCTTAAGACCCTTCCATCTATGAAGAGTATTTGATTCTACCATATCTGGGTCTTTTGAAGATTTTTTTTGAAATTTTAGTGAATTTGACCCTTTTTGGCCAAGCCCCTCAGGCCCCTGGGGGCTAGGGACCAAATCAGCCACTATTGACCTTGGGCCATGGAAGGTTTCTGCAAAATTTCACTGAAATTGGCTCAGGGGTTTTGGAGAAGAAGTCGAAAATGTAAATTGTTAACGGACGCACGACGGATGCCGGCTAAATGGCGATCGCAATAGGTCACTTAAGACTTTGTCTCAGGTGACCTAAAAAGAAGGAAACATTACCTCTGTTAAAATCAATAATCGTATGAAATAATCTTTTTAATGGATGTTTTCTGATTCATTTAAATTGTATTATTTTTATTAACACAATCTGTAAATAACATCTGTTCCAGCATTTGTTTGGAGTCAAAATATGCTCATTAAAAGAACATATCAGAATTTCTTGAGCAGTAGATAATCAACACAACATACTAGCAACTGAAGATGGGGCTTTGGTCGAGCCCGACACCTTCATTTTGATCTCGTTGCCGGCGATCTCGTCGTAGATGGCGGAGAGATACTCCTCTGGGAGGTCCTTACTGTCGTTGATCCCCCGGTTCATCTTGATGTACTGTTCTTTCTTCATCTTAACTTTAACCTGACATAATAAAACAGGTGAAAAATTACAAACACGAGGGGAATAAAAAAGCGAACTCTCCTTAAGGAATTAACTGACAGTCTGGAGGTAATTAAAACAAAGTCAGAGAGGACTCTAAGATCTACCCCTGACCGCCTCAAAGTAGTGTGACCACCGACTCATTAATCTCGAAGGATGACCACCAAAATGTTATCAAGTGCAGAACTTGATGTTATCATACTGTGATGCAAACATACAATTAACTTGTAGGGAGGCTTTTGAGATATCTTGTACACAAGTGTTTTTTTACTTCAAAAGCAGTCAAGTGTTGATCCTTTAACCTTAATGGACGGCTACCAAATCTGGGGAAGAACTTGATGTTACCATAGCATGGTGTAATAAATGTAAACTAAATCTGGGGGAGAGGGAAGGGTGTGGAGTGGGATGATAGGGGATAATGGAGTACAGAGTATAAGGTGAAGGGGAGTTGAAAAGGGGTGGGTTGAAGGGAGGGTTGGGGGGAGGAGGTGAACTGAATCAAAATAAAAGAACGATGTGTAATGAAGGGGTTAAGTGATTGCTGAAAGTGAAGGGTACATACCTGGGAACTGTGGAGATCTGTGGTCAACATTATCACAGAATAGGCTAACACGTAGGCAGCATCAGCAGTGGCGAAGATCTCCGTACTGTTGTAACAGACAACACAGAAACAGGGAATGATATAAACAATTCAGGTTTATGCAACAGAACTACAAGACTGTAAATGACACTAACAAACATAGCAAGTTCTGAATGACTGAGAAGCGTCCATTAGGCATTGAATACCTTAGTCCAGGACTAAATTACTTAATGTACACATGTACAGAGCTTCATGATTGTGTCTTTGTAATCTTCACTTTAACTCCAATCAATTTAACAACCCAGAATGTACTTCCTAATCCACTATCAGTAAGACATGTAACCAGCGCTGTTATTCAGACTTAACAAATAGGCGATAAGTAAGGCAATTTAAGGAATGGTGAAATAGGAAAGGAGTTATGTTTCCAACAAATTTCCCTATTAAATAAATAAATGTGCCATAACCAAATATAATGAAACAAAAGATTCTATTTTAGTATTCAAAATTCCCTCATCCCAAAAAGTACCCACATTTAAAATTGGCAGCTGTAGGTGACAGAGTATATGAGATATGCTTAGGATAAAGGGATACATGGTGAACAAAGGGACACAACTCTATATACTGGGATAGGAGACCTGATTTCATCACGAGCCATTCAACCATCCCATGAGATATTCACATTGAAAATTTGGTACTTGTAGGTGACTTCATATAGGATATATCTCAGATGAAGTGATGAACAGACTGAGTGAGTGAAAAGCTATGGTGCTCTTTGGTATTACCTGTGGGGATCTAATAACACTACACTACCCTGTCCCCCTCCCTTCATCTAGTCATATCGGGAAAAGCACTTATCAAGAAAGGGAAATCGATATACAGAAATCTATGAAACAAACTGTGATTCTATTACAAAATACTTACTTTGTGTTGCACTCATAAAACCGAGACGCAAATTTTTCCATAAGCCTGTCTATTTTCTGAGCTTCGCCTGGTAGCCGAAATCCCTCCAGGAACCGTCGAAGAGCAGGTACAAAATCCATCTCCGTCAAATCCATCTGATCAATGAATGCATACATCACTTCTTTGTTGAGTCTAGAATTCAGAAAATTGAATAAAATACTTGATCCTATCCACAATTGTTAGTGGTATTCCAATCACTCTAGCCTGATCCAATAAAAAGGCAATAGTTAAAAGTACTTCCTTCTTATCTTTGAAAATGATGTGTAGATTCTCTAGTACAACCACTACGGGTGTAGGCTGACCTAAAGTTGTTCAGACATGCCACGCTGTAGCTTCTTGTTACTGTGCACTCACACAATACGTGTAACCAAAGCGAGTTTGATCGCCTATTTTCGTTTATTAGCGTTCCAAATAGTTTGACTGGTTGGATCATAATTGGATCACAATTATACAAGAATTCCACGGGAGTAGATGTGTAGCCTGCTCAGCGCTTTTAGTAAGAAAAGTTTTGGCTGGAGTTATCGCGTAAACAGATATGCCAAAACGCAAAAAGTTGAAACTTGACAGAAAATCCCGTAATATATGTTGAACATTATTATGCCAGACCCCAATCCCAATCGTTGTAGCATATCTGTATTAGAGTTTTCATGCCCAGCAATTTTATGTATGGTTATGGGGTGGGGATCCCAACTGTTTCCAAGCTGTGACTCAGAAACTAGGTCCCTAGGGTTGTGGCCAGACCCTGGGGTCAATTCTAATATCATGACTGCATTCGTCTCTTTATGCCCAACAATTGTATAAATAGTTTTGGGGTGGGGATCTTAACCATTTCGAAGTTATGACCTAGGGGTTAAGTCTCAAAGAGTAGGGCAGTCCCCAAGGCCATCCTGGAAGCATATGTGCATTCATCTCTTTATACTCAGCAATTGTCTATATGGTTAAAGGGTGGGGATCTAAACTGTTTCCAAGCTGTGACTAAGAAACTAGGTCCCTAGGGGTTCAGTCAGACCCCAGAGTCTATTCTAATAGCATGACTGCATTCGTCTCTTTATGCCCAGTATTTGTATATATAGTTTTGGGGTGGGGATCTCAACCGTTTCAAAGTTATGGCCCAGGGACTATGTCTTCAAGGGTGGGGCCAGACCCTAGGGCCATCCTGGAACAATCTAATTAAAATTTTATCTTCACATCGCTCCTGTTTACTGATATGTCGCGTTGAAGATCTAACAACATCCCGTAGAGGGTCATGTTCAGGCGACCTTTGCATTAACCAATCAGATGAGAGCTTACGCATTTCTGTAAGTGATGATGTAATGATTTCGGAACACACTTGCTATGATAGAAGACCGAGAGGTGTCAAATGAGCATCGAAAATGGCGGCGCCCATGACACCACGCCGTGTCTATCTTCAAGACAACGTTTGTACAATTTTTGGATTTTGCTTTGAAATAAGAGAGACTTCCTCTTCTGGTGATGTTGTCGTTTAAAAGTTTAACAACCTGAAACTAAAATTTACCAATGACAGGCTTCGCAATATCCAAACAATCACTGGACCAGACAAAAAAGGCTACGAGGTGTCTGCATTAAATGCTACAGGTCCTGCTTTCTGATTGGTTTAAAGAAAGAGTTATGTCGCGTTTTGATTGGCTTGTTATAAATACGATAATGTATTCATGTTGACCTCTGACGTGACCCTCTGCGGGATGTTGTTAGATCTTCAACGCGACATATCAGTAAACGGGAGCGATGTGAAGATATAATTTTAATTAGATTGATCCTGGAAGCAAGTGTGCATTCTTCTCTTTATACTCAGTGTCAGCAATTGTGTATCTGGTTATATGGTGGGGATCTCATCCATTTCCATGCAATACATTTTTTTTGGACCCACCCCTTAGCCCGGGGGGTCAGCCCCTTCATTTGTACAATTTTGAATCCCTGTCTCCCATGAATGCTTCTGACCAAATATGATCGATATCCATGGCATACTTCTACAGAAGAAGTCGTTAATAGCAATATAGCCAAATTGCCCCCTTTTGGCCCCAGCCCTCAGCCCCACCATTTGTACAATTTTGATTCCCCACCACCTTGGGACTGGGATGCTTCCAGTCAAATATGGTTGATATACATCTCTTTATTCCAGAGAATAATTTGCTTAAAGCAATATAGTCAAATAACCCTTTTTGGCCCCATCCCTCAGCCCCACCATTTGTACAATTTTGAATCCCTGCATCCCATGAATGCTTTTGATTAAATATGATTGATATCCAGTGAATAGTTCTACAGAAGAAGTCAGTTGTAGCAATATAGCCAAATTAGTGGCTTAGTCCTTCAGACCCGGTGAGCTAAAAATGAAAAAGTTCATGCATTTCCAGGTCTGCCAGGCTTTATCTAGACTATTTGCATTAAAGAACAACCAACCTACTGTTGGATCCCACAGGTTGTCAGATTACACAGGTTTCACTGAACTTCTGCAAGTCCTGAATCTTAAATGTAATAACAAATAATTTTCATTATAATCATCACATAACTCATATTGACTTCACTTACTTTTCATTTTCACCTAAGAAATCACCAAGAACAGTCTGAAAAAGAGAGAGCAAAAAGCGGTTATTTTCCATTGAAGTCCAATTTCAGAATTACTTTTTTTATTATTCAATGTAATGCTCCACGTTTGAACAATGCAATTGGGATTATTTCCATAATATTGTAGAGAAATGATACTGGATAAAGTCATGATCATATTTAAAATAAATTTTTGAAGATATTTTCAAACCACCTTGCATCGATCACCTTGTATTACTATCAAAACTGTAACCTTAAAGTTGACTAAAATTCAGCTACAGGCAAACACTCAAAGTCATTCAAAAGAACCTGTTGAAAAATGTAAACACATTTGACCTCTGTGACCTTGAAAGTCAAACAAAGACATACAATTGAACAAAATTTATAGTCCTTCATCCCATAATGCAACTTGCCAAATATCACCACTCTATACCATTTGTTTATTGTTAGATGCACAAACTTGATAGCTATTCATTTGAGCATGCTAGTGTTCACATATTACCATCCTTGGCATTTTGGTTATTAAGAAGAGGTCATTTGAAGTTTTTAATATATTAACCCCTGTGACCTTGAATATAATTAAAGTCATTCATTTGAAAATACCTGGTAACCCTTCATCCCAGTATTCTTCTGGCCAAATATCATCACCCCAGGCCTTTTGGTTTTTAAAAACAAGTTGTTCAAAGATTTCAACATATTTGACCACTGTGACCTTAAATATTGGCAAATGTCATTCATTTCAACAAATGTGATAGCCCTTCCATCATCCTAGGCATTTTGGTTATTCAGAAGAAGTTGTTTAAAGGTTTTATAAGACAACTGACCCCTGTGACCTTGAATATAACCAAGGTCATTCATTTAAACAAACGCCGGACGGAAGCTGTGTCACAGCAAAGCTCACTTAACCCTTTGGCCAGGTGAGCTAATAACCACATATCTTACAATAAATTTTGCTCACAACAGTTAATTTAAGACCAATATACTTTCTGAACAACCTTATCAAGACGTTCATCGGAGTGGAAGAATTCTGCGAGATCATCAGGAGCCGTGCCCAGCATGCCCTGCTCTTGTAGGTAATGTAAACCTTTGTAAGGCTTCTTGTTGAACCTAACAAAAATAAATAAATTCTTTAAAAAACGTTTTAATAGAAATTAAAAAAAAAGGATATCTGATTTAGTACAATCCATTCCACAATAAAGATTAATACGTAAGACAGAATTAAATTCATCTTTGTTTGAATTGTGACATATTTCATTGGAAAATTTACATGGATCGGCATTAAAAGCATTGCTAGAGTTATGGAGCATGATTTGTGTATTGCTGCTCACATTTCTATGCCTGCCTCCATGATCTCTTTCTGTTGTTTGATGCTCTCAAACTCTTCTGGGTTGTCGAGGGACAGACTAGGTGCCTGTGAGCTGCTCGTCGAGTTGATGGAATTAATACTACCATAACTTTTCATTGTGCTGTTTCCAGAATCATTGTCTGTATCATTAAAAGGCTTGCTTTCTTGACCTGTAAATTATATCACAGTTATGTTTCAATAAACATTTGATGTCTGTATCATTCAGAAGCTTCTCATTGTTGCCGATAACTCTCTAGAACATTTAAGTCTTGTAAGTAAAGAATTTTTTTATGGTTATAATATCTGTTTATTCGTGCATGAAATACTATTTTTCGTTGGAAAACAACTGACTTTTCTGAATTTTCTGGTAATCTGGCTTGACTTGGTATCAAGAATGACCCACAAAAGGTCACTAAGATCTATCCTCAATTAGTAAATGGACAGGGCGACTCACCTAGATTGGACTGAGAGTGAGGGTTGATATACAAATCTTTACTCCACTCCACCATACACTTCAGTATCGACACAAGACATTCTAGACCCTTGATACGAATACTCTTCTCCTGGTTTGGAGTGGCACCTGAGTAATCAGAAAATTTGTATGTAAATGTATTTATAATTCACAATTCACATACTGTATTTGTTGAAAAATATTTTTGAAGCTATTTGCAACATTTTTCCCTGTTTGGTTTATCTTCAAATCTTTTCTACAGTGTGTAATATGATATGAAATTAGAAATTATAATTAATGATTTGAAGAGATAATTTAAGTGTGGTACTTACCTAAAGCCAGAGCATGTCTGCCTTGAGCAATCTTTGATAAATCATTAACTAGGCGTTCAAAAATATTGGCTAGTGTCAAGTCACAATCATAGTTGAGATAGATATCCACAACACACTGGGCATCTGTCCAAACAAAACATTTATGATACATTAGTGGTGAATAGCGCTATCACCCTTCACCAAGGTGACTTGGGTTTCATTCCCAGATTATATGTGGAAACATACGCAATGGAGTCTCCTACTTGACCACATAATTGCATTTTCTCATGTACTCCACTTTCCCCTACATATCAAAAACTCCTGCTCATTTTCATCTGGGCACATAAAGAGTGATTAATATTTCTATTGATAAAATTTGTTTGATAATTATTGTAAAAGAAATCAGGTGTAATTTTCTCATCTGGCTAGATACATTCACCAAGAAAATGTCTCGATGATTTTTTTTAAAAAGTTTCAAGTTACTAGGTCTCAATGTTTTTTTACAAAAGTTTCAAGTTCCTATTTTTAGCATATTAAAGTTAATTTTAAATATCTTATATTTATTAAAGCACACTAACAAATATCTATGTCTAAGCATGTTACTAATATCTAGGTTGAGCATACCTGCACATATCCTGGTGAGTGCTTGTATTACCATCCATTTGTGATCAAAGGAACTGCTGTTGGTCTCTAGGATTGACAGGAAGATTTCCTTAAAGAAAACCTAACACAGAGAGGAAACAATATTATACCAAATACAAGAAAACATGATTGGCACAAGAAAATGAACTATAAAGGATGTAACTGTGTCAGCAAGAGGTGAGGATTTCCATACAAAATAGATACTGAAAAACATTGTTTTACCACAGTTTAATAATGTACTCCATATCACCCCTATTAAGTCATCTTCTCTCTGAAAATATCATCATTTTCTCATCTCCACATGGCACATCTCCCACAATGATTTGAAATACAAAAGCATAGGTTTTTAGTACCTAGTAACTTATCTTCTAATTTCATTTCAGTTCTAATATAATTTTTAAAACTCTGAAAAAAGAAAAATAGAAGATAAAGTGACTTAAATTAAAATGACCATGGCCCACTTGTATAAAACATCCCAAAGTTGAGGAAAATCTCAGCAATGTATTGTCTATGGGAGATCTTAGACTTGAGGAAATCTCAAGAGTTGAGATGGTTTATACAAGTGGGCCAAGATGCCCAATACCTATGAATAATGTTAAATATCAATCAATTTGTGTAATTACCTATTTAGAGTACCTACCTCTATCTGCATTTTCAGGTATTGTTTGAAGTTGGACAGGAGTGCTAGAAATATAGCCAAGGAGAGCTCAAAAACCTCCGGTACAGAGCTGACCCCATTCTTAGACAGTGCCACACACAAGTACTGTTTAATGGCATTGATAAACATCTCGTTAGTCTGGAACACCGGTCCAGCGTTCTGAAGGATGGACAACAGGAGGCGCAACGACAGGATCTTAGATCGTAGCTCATGGGATCTGTAATGGAGAACAATTTTCCGATAAAAATTCATTAGATATTTTAGACAGTCGAATTTGAAGAAATACAAATGAAAATAGCATCTGTATCTTGGCAGTGTTTGTAAGAATTATGGTAAAGAATGAGATTTTATCAATGATGTTCTCCAACATAATGTAATCATGCGATGAGCACATACTTTGTGTACATACAATAAAGACAAGGGGTAGTCTGGCTGATTTGTGATCGTCAATGCAGGCCTTCAAAGTACTTGCAAAGACATTTCACAAACAACTTTGGTCCATCTGGTCCAACATTTTGAGACGTTCTGAACAAAACCTGCTCATGATTTCTTTCTTAACTTTGACATTGTGAATTCTGTCTTTTACTCTTATTCCTATAATATTTTTTACATTCCATTCATTACTTAACAAGATAAGTCTTGAATTTATAAATAACTTTACAATATATGCAAATTAATGATAACTTTAACTAAATAACAGATCTATAAATGAATTAACAGAAATGGTAAAAAAAGAAATGGTAAAAACATAATGCCCCAGCTACATTGTTGGTGGGGAATATCATTATAACATACAAGTTAACTTCTAGAGAATGGTATTCAATGCTTACTTTGGGTCTGGGGGACCATCAGCGAGCGGCTTCATGCTGAGTTTACACAGGCTCCTAAACACGAGAAAGGCGTCCTTCTGTAGAATGTGAGAGAATACTCCCTGAGCCATCTCCTGGCCCTCCTGGCCTTCGAGGACATCTCCATCATCACCGTCCAGCTTGTTCAGACCTGACATCATCACATTCATCATGAATACGGAGAAATGTTCATCATGACATGAATAATGAGTACAGAGAAAATGTAATAAGACTATGGGATTATAAAGGCTTGGTAATCTTGCACAAGCAGGAAATTATACATTCCTATATTCCCAGTAAACCATGACTAGAAAATCTAACATGCTTAAATTTAACTACACTAAAATAAGTTAACAGATTGTATCTACTGCCAGCTGAATGATATTAAAAACTTTAGTTATACATTTTTATTTTTATTTTTTAAAACTCCAGAACCATTACCAAAAGAACCAATATGTTCAGCAGTTGGAACGACATGCAATTTAAAGTGTTTGTTTCTATAAATTCACTAAACTAACACTACTGTTAGTGTAACCTAAATGAACTACAGGCTGAATACATACAAATTGTTGAAGTTAGATGTGTATTTCAATTAATTTTTAGATACATTTATTTTTTTGATAATGTGAACAAAATTACTACCCAATCTTCACAATCCTGCTTTCATTTTACTTATCTCACCAAGTCAAGACAAGAAAATTAAGAAATTACTGAAAATATTCACCTATTCACAACTAAAAAAAATCCAAATGATTTTCCCTGCTTGTATGATTTTAAAGTAACTCATTTTTGTCTACTTAACCAGACTTAGATACAGTCATACCTGTCTTTACTGATATCAAGATTGACTGAATCGTCATCAGATATGAAAGTGTGTCTGTAATACCAGGGTTTAGACAGAGAAACCAGTGTTTGCCGACCAACTAAAACATGTCAGTTACATTGAATGTCGCTTAAGTCTGGTGTTGGTTTCAATGAAGATCTCCTTTTTTCTCCTCGAATGGAATTTGCATGATATTTGCTTTATATGTTAATGACCTAGCAAACAAAGTAAAATTAAATAAGATTTGTGTAAATCTGTGTATTATTTCATTCATGCTTTCAGGTGATTAAGTGGATTAAGTAGATTAGATTACGGTTTGTTTGGATTAAGTAGATTAGATTACGGTTTATTTTTTATACTGTAAGTGTGCATATAATGTCAAGCATTCTCCTGCACAAAGCATTACAACCTGAAATTTCCTTAATTTCTGGAGTAAAAAGATCAGACTTGTGTTAAAAGAATCACTACATGTAAACCCAACAACTGTGCCAATTGTTCTTAATCCTTGTATCTTTTTTTAGGTGAGCAAACTATTTTTTCATTTTTACTACTTAACCACCAGATATAATTTTTAGGACAGATGTGTGAAATAATCTCACAAGATGAAAGGGTACACTAGTTTTCTGTGACACACTTTCACTAATATATTGGATCATCCACTTCCCATCAGAAAGTCAAGTTAGGTGTTTGGCCAAGAGAAAAGTTTTTTTTTTTTTGAGTTATGTGTTATGGGATATACCACGCATCAAATAATGATAATTAATTTACAATAATAAATTAAGATTTAAATCCTTTATATAATGTAAATCACTGTTAAATATATCTACATAGCTGTCAACCACCCCTTACTAAGAGAGAGAATCCCTAAATTAGACCAAAATTTAAAAATTCACTCTATAAAACTTCAGTCAAATCTAAACTTATACTAACTCGAAATCTAGATATACGGGTCAAAATGATTTCCCATTAGCTACAGAGGATGTTAATACAAGTTACATGAATTTCAAGGTGGCTTCAGAGTTTGACACACATGTTTTAGGAATTTCTGATTAAATATGTGAGATTATAATGAAACTAACTAATATGAACTTTTAGTAAACTTTTAAGCAATTTAAATATAAGTAAATTTGTTACATTTATGAGTTACTTAAAACTGTCCTTACTTCAACATTGATATTGATTTAATCTGGATTGATGTGCCCTTTCTAAATTTTGATTTCCAAAAAATTTAAATTTCCTTTTCATTAATTGCGTAGATAAGTAACTGACATTCATCTATCCCATGATATAGTATACCTCAATTACACAAGACATCAATTCAAATTATCTCCAATGACTCTACCCTATATTTATATTTAGTTTTTCATTTTCGTTGGATTGGGTCAGTTCTACAATACTTTGAAGAACATATACATTCTTTATATACTTGTAGGGAAAGGTAAATCATTTCATCTTACGAAAGAGTATTAATTGGTGGGTTTTTTCCCCCAAACAGATAGCAGTTTTTTAACCCAACTTTAAAAAAAATAAAAAACTTAACCTATAGCTCAGTTTATCACTCTCATTGAAAATTCCTAGACACAATTTTTGTACAAACAACACAATTACCAAAAGAACTGCCCGATTTGCTACTCCCCGACAATGAAGGAGCAGTCTCTGTTGCATTCTGGGAAGGTTCTGTTGCATTCTGGGAGGAAACTGAATCATTAGCACTCCCTTGTGATGCTGGGGCATCAGGGTTTGGCTCTTCAATTTCTGGAGAGGATGAACCTTGGACTACAAAGTCCAAAAAGCGAAAAGAAAAAGAAAAAGAAAAAAATCAAGGCAATCATTCTCTAAATGCGTTTTAAAAGTAGATATATATTAGTACAGCCCATTTGTCAAAGCATTGTTAGCTGAAGTAAAGTTTTTTAAGTTACTTTCCCCAAATGATTTTATGTTTTTATTTATTTTTTTGCATTCTTTTAAAAGTTTCTTTATCATCAGATAAGTACATGATTAGGTTTTATCAAAAGAATTCTGATGTTTTTGGCATTTCAGATAAAACTGTTACATAAATTTATTAGTCAGCTAACAAGGCTTTAAGCAGGTGTTCCCATGATGTATTACATAAGCAGGCATCTCTACATTAAAGCTGCATGTCATTTCATGTATCATACTGTAAGGCACTTTATTTTAGCATGAGATTTAGGTCTGTGTTAGTTTGCAAGGAGTAATAACATGTATTACAAAAGCAAATTCAAATATTCACAAATAAAATCTTAAAGTATAGTTTTCAAAACTAAGTACTCATGAAATAAAGTGAATTACAGTAACCAGTTACCAACTCTTCCTCCAGATTGCTCGGCTTTGAACAAAATTGTTTCAGATTTCATTTAAGAAGACATAAATTGCAACATACTGTTTTAAAGAAATCAAATTAAGAAAAATGCATCATAGAAACTTCTAAAAGAGAAATTTGCCATGAAATGAAGTCTCTTTAAACCACATTTCTCACTTTTTAATTATCATATGTCTTAATTAAGGAAACAAGCAATATGTTCCAGTGAACTCGCCTTTCCTGGAGCAATGAGGAGGAAAAATGATTTAATATTAAAAATAAAAATGTAACTGATGTATTTAATTTAAGATTCTTTACTTTACTCCCAGCATTCAACTACTCTGCAAAAAGATCTGAGGACATTGGGTAAATGAGGATGCATTCTTTGTAACCTTTGCTCTGGTCAACATCAGGATCATGCTACCTAGCTCTGACAAGGACATTTTATATTTCCTTTCAAAGAGTTCCATGCAAAAAAAATATGTGCAAAAGATATTTTATAAACGGAAATTGAGATTTTGGGAACATGCTCCCACTGTTTTACTTATTAACAAAAGTACTCAGCATTTGTTTGTCCCCTTTTTTAATAAGGGAGATAACTCAAAATTTTCCTTGTTTAAGATGGTATAAAAAACATAATACCAATTTACAGTGATGAGTGATCAGTAGACAAATTTACAGTAAGAATTCTAAGAATGCCACCTTATATACAATGTAGTCAGATCATGGTATGGGGGAAAATTAACAAACACAAATCTGTAAGAGACTTAATTAGTTAGTAAGTGTGCACAAATGTAAAATTCATAAGCTGCCTTAAATCTATATACAATGGGTAGATATGTTAATCAGCATTAAAATTAAATATATTTAAACAAGATCCATAATTTATGCTTTGACTGAGAGGTAGCATAGAAACAGACCTAATGTGAATGTAGGAGAAGTATTCCTATGATTTTTATTGCTTATTTCATAGTAGCGCAGGCACAGACTGTTAAGAAGAGTTGCTACATATAAATAACTGACAATTTTGGTCCTTATGGACAAGTTGAGCCTTGCGTAGGTTGCCATAATAGGCAGAGCTTAAAATGCAGTTTCTGAGTTTTCTATCAGATAAATAATAATAGATAAAGAATTCTACGTGCTTATAAATGTCTCCTGTATACAAGTTTTATAACGATACCTTTAACAAGTATATGAATATACCTTGTTTAATGTATAAAATACCACAAGTCAGTGAAATCCGGAATTGTTCTTGTTATTGCCAGGCACTACTGGACCCTTTTATCGTAATTTGCCAAATTTTACAGCGGTCAATCTTGGACCCGATCTGTGTCTGTCATCTCATTTCAGATTCAACTTATTGTATCATTCACAGCAAAGGAAAGTAATGCAGCAATATCCTTACTCATATACACCACAAAACTTCAATGTAGTTCACTACAAAAAGCACAACATTTGGCGTGATATCTCAAACTGACTCCTTCAAAAGGACAATTTGTTAGGTTACTTTCAAGGTAAAACTGAAACAAAACATTCTCTCAAGTCAAGTCTTGCTACAACCATTAAGTATTGTCAAAATTATTAACAAAACTCTGTTTTACATTTTCATACACAGATTAACAACAAGCATGCATACTTATAATTAAGAAATATACCAAAATGCATAAATCAGCTGAATAAGAAGCTATTTTGTAAAAATCATACAATATGTCTGATTCTTTATATAGGTCTAGATGTAATGTATACTTTTCAGTATAAACTCCTTTTTTAGGAAACGTTTATACACAGTGATGTGTTGGATGTCTTCCACATTTATGAAGCAAGAGTAGATGATAATGAGAGACAACAGAGCTACTTTTTACCTCATATCCTATACAGGGATTTTTCACAAACAATTCCAGAATAGTAGTATTTTTGTTTTTTAAATATTAATTAATGAAATATCTTTTACCTTCAAACAAACAAAAAACATTTTTTTATTCATGTCTGGTAATTAGATTTTTCTGTTTGTCAGTTTCTGTATTAAATAACTCCATTAAAACCACAATATCAAAACTGGTAGTCAATAATCAGTAAATTTTGGCATTTACTTTCAGTAATCAAAAATAAAAATCTAATTTAATTCAGACCATTTCTATATATTTAATAGGACGTAAAACACAAACCAACCAAACAAATAAGCAATGCATCCAAAATACAGTTTTCTAATATGACTAGTGTTACATAACTACAGAAAACCCGATTATACCATAAAGGTACTATAAACATTAGTTCTACTGTAAATCGACCATAAAGATTAAAAAAAATAAAAATAAAAAATCTAATCACACAAAAACATATCAGGTCAGTTTTAAGGTCACGCCAGTGTATTGTTAGATTTGCTGGTACTGACTTTCTATGACCTAATTCCCTCTGACTTTGACATGTTGTCTAGCTAATGTGACCTTGACTCTGACCTTGTTGTTACATACCAACCTTTGTGACTTGACCTTTTATGAACTTGTTGGTACTGACCTTGAGTGACCTTGTCCAGGATGTTATCCAATACATTGGTGACGACCTGCTCTGTTGTCAGTTCTTCATCATCTTTCTTCTCCTCTCCTATTTCAAACCATCCAATTCACTTTATTAAATATATATATGTATATGTTTGCACAAAGGCCAAAGAGTTATTTATGTACCTATGAAAAACTGCTCAAATATTCCTGAAAAGTATATAACAAATATACTTACTTCAGCAGTTGCAAAATATTAGCACTCTCAGTGCTATAAATTTGAAATAAATAAATAATGGAGAGCACTAAATATAACATCACTGTACTCTTAAATGTTGTAGACAGCTGAAAGTGTTAAATCATGATGTGTATAAAATGTAAAAAAAAAAAGTTTCTGATGACACCGAAAATAATAAGAAACAACTATTTATTAAGCAGGGTCACTCAACAAAACAATTCAGAACATTTTTTTACAAGAACAAAAATATTAACTGGTATTAGGTGACCAGGTACAATTTGCATAATCTTTCACTCTAAAATATGTAATTAAAATCAATTCTTATTCTATATTTTTTGTTTACAATTTGGGATCTCAATAGGTCATCTAAAGCCTAATTTAAACCAGAAAAAGTACTAACCTGAGTCAGGGCCATTCACCTGTTCTCTAGCTGTCTCCAAATCGCTTACACCTGCATCATTCTGTATGGGAAAGATGTTTAAAGACGGTAAAATAAGAGTCTCATTGGGTCCTATTTATCAACATGTAATGTATTTAAATTTTATGTGATGAAAATATAGACTACTTCATGAACATGGAGGTCATTTTCATCCAGAACAATGCAACAGTTTATAATCAATCCAAAGTCAATCTCCCCTGGACAAACTTTGGTATGAAAAAAAGTCAAGGGCAATAACTCTGTATAATGATGGGGCACACAAATAATTGCAGAAATTTATTGTTACCTCTTATTGTTATCTCTGTTACCCCCCCCCCTGACATGTATATTTTTACATATTTAATATACATATTTACAAAGACACTACCTCTGGCTGTGTTTCAGATTTTGGCGATTCTCTATCTTCATCCTTCCTTGTAGACAGTTTACTGGCAGACCTTTCTCTCTGTTTCATCTCCTGAAGCTTCAGAAGGAAGTAAGGAAAAAAAATCAAACATTAAAAACAGTTTCACTCGATTCAGAACCTATACAGTAAAAGATTAAAAGCAATGCAAAATTCCATTGTCTGGAGTTAATACAAACTAGAGTAAATATACTCTATGTTTCTGGTAAATCTAGATATGTATGTTAAGAAATATCTGTAGATGTCATGTATGTATGGGGATATTATGTATTTTTCACTTACTACGAATTCACAATTATTGTAGGAGGTAAAAGAATCATGTTTAGTTTGCCTCAAAATGTTCAACTGTAGACATACAATATCTAATATCATCCACATGTAAAAAGATAGAATTGTATTCCTCATTATTATTGTAATTGTGTTTGAAAATAGGCAAGAGAAAATACATAATGCTTGCATTAAAAATATATCAGGAAAAGTACAGTAAAATCATTTAAATACTGACTTTTTCTTTGCCACTTCACTGATCGTAAACATATGACTTTGTTCAGCTTACCTTTATCATATCTCCTTAACAATAAATCTCCTTAGATATAACACCAAACTCCTAGAAATGCCAGATACTCTCAATGGTGGCACTCTAGCAAGGATTACTGTATAAATAGAATATATATGAAACAACACCAGAAGAGGTACATACGGCCTGATTCTCCATTCGCATGAAGATAACGTTGAGCATCTGTGTAAGTGTGGCCTTGGCTGTCGTCTGGTTAATGAGGTTTTTACTGGCCAGGTAAATGTTGTAACAGGTTCGCACAGTCTGAAGTACCGTCCCCTCATGTATCTCACATGTGTTGGATGTCACCACCGTCAACAGAGCCTGTAACCATCACACCTTCCATTACATATCATTTTTTCTGATAAAATATCTTTCTGCGATAGAAATCTAATCTGTGCTGTTATCTAAGCTTCACTTCAACTTTTGAGACATTTATAGGTATTATTGAAAACTCTGTTTGCAAATGTTCTGTATTTATACATGTATATCAATAAGTATTAGAGAAATCATCTACTACCACTTATGGAAATGGGAGATGGAACAGTCTTATCAACCAAACTGAACTGATATCAAATTGGAAAGAGGTTTCAAGATTCATATATTATACATTTGTGTATAACATTTTATTTGTCAGGTATCCATAAATAATTTATCAATTTTAACTGTTTGCTTTCTATGTATGTTGCTAGCAAATGACCGCATTCTGGCAGTTTCATTTCAGAATGAGGCTTTGTACCTTAATGATTTGAAGCTGAACTCCGTCATCTGTTTGGGGTCCATGGAAACAGCCACATATTGTTTCAACAATTCTGTCGATAAGGCGCTTTCCCGGGGTTGTACTGTCAGGGGTGTTTCCTGTTAAGTGGCCATACGCTATAAGCTTCTGTAAGACACAAAATACACACAGACTTCATTTAACTGAGCCTGGCAGTAAATCATCATTCGTAGACAGTTATTACATGGACAGCTTCATGTATATATTTTGATGCTTTTCATTTAGCAGATATTATTAAACTTTAACACATTAAGCGCCGATGAACCCTGATAATTAGTGATTATAAAAGTCAAATAACATTTCCTCTCAACTTTGGAGAGAAAACACATGTGTGAAATAGACATGTATTTTCAGTTGGAAACGGGAATCAAAAACACACACCATACTCTAAAGAGTCTACTGAAAGTCCTGTTGGGAACTTTATTTCTGGTCTTGATGCATATGAAAACAAAATGGTGTTGTAATAGTTCACAACAAGTATACTGAAAAAAAGCAAAGCTACTCTGGAATATTCTTGCCTGATTCAGTTAATGAAATTTTCAGAATGGTATACCACTTCATTAAATGGGCAATTCACCTTGGGGAGTGGGATAGAGACACCTTCATGTTTTTGCTGTCTTGGAGAAAAATAAGTCAACATACAAGTATGTTGTTTCGGTAAACCATGTTTCTGAATAAAGGTGTTTCACTTGTCAATGACCTGTACCTAGCCTCCTTATTAGGTCAAATATAGCTGTATTAAAGATAAAATCTTTCTTACCTGGAGACAGTCGAGTGCTGTATTTACGATGCGAGAACTTTTTGACTGACATGCCAACTCAAAGGGCATAAAGTATTTATCTGCCTCCACAAAGCCAGCCTGTATAGGCATCGGGAGGGCAGAGGACAGCTTGTCATCTCTGGAACACAAAATGTATGAACTGTCCCTTATCCCTCACACCACTCACAATAATATAACTCCAGTCTGACCAGAAAGAACCAACATCCAACAGCATAGGTAGTTAAGACTTACGTACAGATTGTAGAACTAAAACAAAAACATCTAAACATGTGTCTCTGGTAGCTCTAGGTTTTAGCAATTTTTGTTTGGCTTCAAATATCTCACATGCATGCTTTGATTTGTAATACCGTATGTGATGTTTGATGAACCAATGTCAATGGTATAGTACTGACAATTACATCGATCTTAAGTACATAAGCGTAGGAGTCAATCGCAACAAGCTCAGGATAAGTTAAATCTTATTTATTGGGTATGTCTACCGGTTTCGCCCGAACAGTGGGCTTCTTCAGGACGATTTGATAACAAAATATGTTCCCTGAAGTACTAAAATTCTGGGCACATCTATATTGTGTATAGTGACGTAATACAGGTAACGTCACGTGATATCTATTTATAACGTTCTAGAAAGTTCCATCACGGTTATTATTAGTAGATGAGCATTCTAGTCTATAGTATCAATACCTGAAATACTATCAATGTACATACAATTCATTGACTATTTTAAATATATATGTGTATAAATGTGTATATATAGTTAGACATAAGTACAAGTTTCTTTTATCCCTAAATATTATTAAACTGAGTTATAATGTTCAAGTTCATCCTGACAAACAGTGGATGTGGATAGAGACTTATATCCCAAAGTCTTGTAGTCTCTCATTGCGTAGTCTTCTTCTGATGTATTTGGCGTGGATGCCGTGTATTCACTCTCTGATAATTCTAGGTCAGCCTTGAGTAACTCTATAGTTTCATCTAGTACCGGCCTGAATTGTTTGCAAGGTGGTCCCACTGTAGTTATCCCATGTCCTGGTTTCACTCTGAATTTCACTTGATCTAATTGTGTTTTCGTAAGCGCCTCAAATGGGCGTTTGTTGTCCGGTTTGGTTGCCTGTGCTCTGGTGCGGTCTACAAACAGGGGCCCGGAACCAGGGGTCTATTAGAATACAAAATGTTTGTCGCCTGCACAAAACCGAAGTCCATTAGTAAGAAGCGATATCTGTCGTGACTCTGCCCGGCTGAAGAAGCCCACTGTTCGGGCGAAACCGGTAGACATACCCAATAAATAAGATTCAACTTATCCTGAGCTTGTTGCGATTGACTCCTACGCTTATTTTCCTATTCTTCAATCGCCCTGCATACTGGTTGGTATCCAGGCAAGGGATAACGGAACCTACCGAACCTAAACTACAATAACGGCGTTGGCTCTACTCCTGGATCAATCTTAAGTACAAGTACACTTATACTGTATGAACAGTTAAGGATATTTCTACCACAATACGCTGTGTTATTCCACTCTCAGATCATTGTATAAACAAGCAGACTGTTAGATAAATATGAGTTATATACCACACGTGGTCTATGACCTTCAAGAGTTTTGATTGGTCGAGAAGATGAACTTTGACCGGGAAGACTTTTTCCACATGCTTTTTGCCACCTGCTGTTTTGTCGTCGGCTGTCAACATCCGACAAATGTTGGTGACTTTGTGAGGTTATGCGGAAAGGGGGGGGTATTAAGGCAATATTAAAAGATGATACTTAAAGATTTGACCGCTAGTTTCAGGCAAAATCGCTACAGACGCTTGATATCGTTTCGACGTCACACCGTCGCGTGTCCAGGTCGTGACACCAAAACAAGATCTGTCACAGTGTCGGGAAATATTTTGTTCTCCCAACGTCCTGTTATCGCTATTTAGACGGTCTGGCTATGGCTGAACTTTCACTATAATCGTCAACCATAGAACCGTCACGAAGAAACGTAGGCCTATGGTTTTGGATATTGACAGCCATAAGTTTGTCTTCAACGGTTCATCACTTGGAGGGAGACAGACTTTGTACGATATGCTTACGCGCATATAGTCCGTGGTTAATTTGTATAAATTAATGCAATACTGCTACTCTCAGTATTTAAAGTCATTTATCTATTTTATTTTTTCACAAAGTTGTTGCCGAAACATTAATTTTGACAATAATTAAAATGGTAAAAAAAAAAGAGTAATTTTTGAATATTAATGAGAAACTTTTTACATATGGGCCATATCACTACGCCAGCCTTGTCAACAAACACATGTGTGTAAGTTCATGAGATTGTGGTAGAAACAGATCACAAGACTCGTGGTTGTTGAGTATGGTATTTATTTAACCTCTACATATGTCACCTAATTGTTAAATTACCTCCTCTCCAGAACAGTTTCAAAGTAATTCAGTAATCTGACCTTACTTGTATCAAATATTTGAAGTTCATGTATTGAGTTTTCGTCAACTTTGACATTTTCCGTACATTGCCTGAGATTTTCTTTGAGGTACGTATACATGTTTCATACATTTTGGGGTCTGAAGTATCCTTTTGTAAGCAGCAATTACCTGGTAGAACTGTTGCATCCAGTGATAATACTATAGGAAAATGCTTAATTACTTGATAATGCTGTTTGAAAATATTAAAGGGAGACTATTTAACCATAAATATATGTAAACATGTTTATTTATAGTGGTGTTGTCTTTTTGAAATAATGTATGCTTTCCTGAGGACATTTATGATTTTATAGTTTGAATATATTTCATTGAACTTGATTTATAAATTATCATGAAATATTATTGGTATTGATATCGAGTAATTTCAAAAATATTTATATATATATGTATAACTTTTTGTCATGTGTGTTGGTATACTGTAACCCCTAATCATGCCCTGTTGAGATTTCTATAACGTACATGATGCATACAGCATGTTAATTATGTATATATAGGTTCATACAATTTGTTTACAAAATATGTACATGATTCATTTATGTAAACAAGACTGATATCACAGAGTTCTAATACAACACTGTATAAACATATATCTGTATATCTTACTTGCGGACAGCACTGTCTCTCTTCAGTTCCTCTGAAAATAAACAAATTCAACAATTACCAATACATAAAGGAAACTGTCTGAGATTACAAAACTTTGTTCTCTTCATCAAATAGAACATGAACGAAAATTTACAAATGAAAACTCAGGACAGATACTCTTATTAATGAAAGACAATCCATGATGCACATGCAAGTTTTGTATAGGATTTTAAGATACCTAGACAACACCTTGTCTGATATATCAATACAAGTAATTGTATGGAATTTTTTCAGAGAGGCATAACGTTAACCTCTACTTGCAAAAAATTGTGAGTGAGTGATATCTTATATTAACAAGAATATTCTGAAAACTAACACACATTTCGCTACAATATGTTAGTTTGAACCCTGCTACTGCTGAGCAAGAGGGAAATTGTCACTATCCAAAGCTAGTAATTATATAAGGTGACTTTAAACTACAGATGTAGGTACAATGTTAATCATTACAAACTTACACAAACTATAAATTTAAATCACTGCATGGCTAAATATCAGATCTCCATTTGAACAGGTGTTTTTTCCCCAGTTATGTATATGTACCTTTCATGGTAGTGTACACTGATCAGGTAATTAACTTTTTCATAGCCCTGAGCAAACCTTGGGACTTTGCTTTCAAGATAGCAAATATGTACCGAGGATAAAGAACAAATGTTAAAATAAGTTACATACATGTACCCTTAGAGAACTTCCCTTACCTGAGTGGCAATATAAATTAATGTGTAGCTATATCTAGTGGGAGGGGACGGATGACTACCGGTGACCACAGATAGCTCATGTCAGTTGGTTAAAATGTCTGTTTTCAGTTTGAATATCATTAATTATGAAGTGATGCATAATTGTGATTATGCATTAAAATACTTGTGTATGCATACATTGCATATGTATTTAAGCCCAAAGCATTGTTTTTATTGTGTCTAAAATTAGAGTATAGAAATGGCTTTTTTTGTCAAAACCATATCTAGATCTAGACGTCATGAATCAAGATTTCAACTGTTTATCTGCACAAAAGTGACAAAATGGATTTCTATACCACCTGACACTTTCGTTTTTTGTGTAGTTCATAAATATGATTATTCATCGATTATGCGCAACTTAACACTTATATATATAATTGCCAGGATTATATTACGTATATATATTGCCAGGATTATATTACGTATACATTGTTAGAAGGATTAGATTCAGTCCCAACCCTCATTTCAAAAAGTATGAAAACATCATTGTTTTAATTTTAATGCAGATTTTTGAATCCTAGAACAATTTTTATAAACATATCATAGATTACAAATGGAACTGAAAATGTGACACACAATCTCACTGAGCTAAGTTAACAGTAGCTGGATGTTCACTACATATTTCAGTTTATCAAAACTCGTTTTTCAATTTGAACAACAAACAGTGCAGCATACGTTGGTTACAGAAAACGTATCCAGAATAGTTCACCATAATGTACAGGTGTGTACAAATGCATGCAACACTAAAGGAGTATTCTTGTTTATTTTGTGAATTACTATATTGACTTCATTAGGTTAACTTTTCCCTTATTTCTTTTTTTCAAGAACAATCTCATACAATTTGAAATCCTTACTATAAAGTTTCTTCAATGCATTAAGAAAACTTGGAAATGGAAGAAACAAAATCTAAAACATAATTGTTTGAGCAAATGTAGGGTAAAAATCAGCTCAAACGACACTCAGAAAAACTGCCTTAATAGCTACATGTACGTACACATGTAGATGTATTTATGAATTGAATATATATATAACTATCAATAATATAGCATTAAAAATCACCATTTAGTATCAACTAATTAAAGACTTTTGTTCAGAAAGAAAGAATCACACTTCTTTCTGCTTAAATTTTAGCCCCGTAAAAAATTATGATCACGTGTGTAGGACAAGAAATATCCCAAGCTTACATGTGGAGGCTCGGGTGATCAGTGCATGTATTAAATTTTATCTTTGCTTATTTAGTAAAATATATTCTTTATGCATATACATGTCTGCTTGTTCAATATCTGTTAAGCACAGGCATTTAAATGTGCCTTTTGGCAAAAACAAATACTTTGTGTTGCTATCTCATCCATTGCACAAATATATCATTATTGTCAGATATATACACATTTATTGTACATTTTTACCAGTGAAATGCATTGTACAAGGCCTAGGTTTACATTGAAAATAAAGTAGATATTTTCTTGTGACAAATAGTACTTTTGTTATTTTCAGGCCAATCAATCAGAAAGCAGAGTTTAGTAAGAAACTTAATAGGCAATTAATGGACATTGTCAATTATGATGTCACTGATGCCTGGGTTTTTCTTTGTTGTGTATATATATATTGCAATACAGCTTTCCTCACCTTAATGGTTTTTGGCAGGAGATGGATTACCTGGGTATGTGTTCACCTGTACAGATGCCCATGTCCTCATAAGATGATCATGTCCTTATAAATGAGCACACATGTACAATAAACAGAATTTGCTCGTACCTTGATGAATTACAGCTATACATTTCACTTGTGGGTTGAATGTTTTTTTTCTATTCTTCACTCATAGTCATGTATGCTTTACACTCATGAGAAAGTATCAGAATATTCACCTTACTCATGAGACAAAACTGTTGTTCATCAAGAAACCAATACTATTTATATAGTCTTTCTATAATAGTCATCTCAGTGGGAAAATAAGGCCTGTGTCATTATAATATGGCAATCTATAATATCACACACACACTGTCTGAATGATATCACACACACACACACACACAAACTGTCTGAATGATATCACACACACATTGTCTGAATGATATCCCATACACACACTGTCTGAATGATATCACACACACACTGTTTGAATTATATCACACACACTGTCTGAATGATATCACACACACACTGTTTGAATTATATCACACACACACTGTCTGAATTATATCACACACACTGTCTGAATGATATCACACATACACACTGTCTGAATGATATCACACACACACTGTTTGAATTATATCAATCACTTTTCGATCATTTTTTTTTTTTAGATCAATTGATGATGTTGGCAGTTTGATTTTATATAAAAGGTTGCAAATTAAGAAGAAAATAACTTCATTGCAACAATTATTGACAGTATCCTTTGTCAGTTTAAAATACCCAGAGGTTGTATGATAGCCTATGATTGCAGCTTCTCACGGTGACTGGTAATGAGGTATATAACATTCAGGGTAGGAGGGTTTTCAATCCTAACATGAACATGCTCATGCATCACCAGTAGTTTGTATGAGGAGGTCTAATTTCACTTCTGCCTAGTACTAATATTAATACCCAGCCTTCTCTGCCCCGGCTGGGTATTAAATCAATCCCATGCCTTGTAATGGAGCAAGCCTGGTGTGAATCACACCAGGGCGATTTTAGAATTGACAGCACATTGATCAGGTCGGGGAAAACCACCACCTTGCGTATAATATGCAAACTCGCCTATTATACGCCAGTTGTAGTATGGATTTGTTACTAAAAATAACTCAAATCGCTTTACCAGTAACTTTTGCAAGATATTATTAAAAATCGCATTAATATACGACAAGGTAAATAATATTTTGCTAAAAGGTGTTAACTGAAAGCGTTGGCTTCTTAGAAACTTGATGTAACTTTACCGAAAGTATTGGCGTATCATAGGCGAGTTTGCGTAAATACGCATGTTAGTGGTTTTCCCCAACCTGTTGATATCCCAAGTTTTTTTTGCTTCAACACTGTTTTTTTCAGCCCCAAGTTTTGTTGAATGAATATACCTCTTAAATTATTTTGTTACATAACATCTACTGTATTCGAATTTATAGCAAAACATTATAACTTCTCAATATTATTGTTTGATATAAAATTATAGTTCCTCCACATCCCTAAATTGGCTAAAATGTAAGTTAAACCCTGCAAGCATTTTTAATAAACAATATGACCCTAGGTTATTATGCATGCAGTGTATTTGCCAGGTGAGGTATGTGTATGTGCCACGAGTGCTCTACTGTTTCTATAGGGTGAGGAAAAGGAGGGGGGGGGGCAGTACAAAAGGTGGGAGGGGCTTGTTTGGTTGTCAAAATAGACACCCGGCATATGCATGTACATGGCTTAAAGATCCAATTAGTAGGACGGCCAGACTAATTTGTCATTAGGCATCATATTGGAGATAGCTGACATGTCATTACAGTTAATAAAATCCGTTACAGCGAGTACAACGCTTCGTATGACAAAACAGTCTTACCGAGTGCCACCTCACAAGCTCGCTTCAGTTGAGAGTGATGAGCCTTCTTAATTTCTTTGTCGCTCAAGATTTTCTCGAGCGCACGTGTTAAAAACATATCTTGTGGCCGTGTTCCTTGTTGCATTATCAAAAGATATTCAACATTACATCAATATTACAGCAACTTGTCGTTTATAGCAGATATTATCCCGGTAACACCACCTTGTCGTCCGCCATATTATATCCAATCAGTCACGTGACCTCCTGCATCACCACTGTAAATAAATCGAAAACAGCATGTAAATTTCGTTCCATTGGATATATTCTATATTATAAACGCAACATATGTCAAAAACTTAATTCGTTTCATTTAGGTCAGTCACAGGATTATGAAAATAAAAAACAAAATATTAATTAAATGCGCACCTGCATTCTGTCCGAGACTTTAGTGACAGATAGGTGGCGCTGTAATAAAAAATATCGAACGGATCACCGAACAAAACTTGATGTGAAAATAAATAAACGGAAGAGAATCGAACAATACGTAATGGCTTGTACATTATGGCGAACGTGTTATTTTATATCACGCAACATCTGGCGATAGGCCTGTATAAATATTGTTAACATGTCAATACTTTGACATCAATATTAATTTTGTGAGCTTATTATAAAATTAAATTTGACAAGCAATCTGAATCTGCAGAGTCGTTAAATACCAGTCCTCTAAACCTGGTGCATCTTTTTGGACGATTTTAACTTCTTCTACTCTTGTAACTTTCAATTTTGATCAAGGTCATCAATTTGAACAAATTCCAGTTTTAGTCCCCCCCCCCCCCTTTTTTTTTAAATATACTATATACTAATATGATCATCTTTATAGGTAAATTAAAGGTTTAGCACATTTGATTCTTGTGACATTGAAAGCGTATCAAGGTCATTCATTTAAACAAACTTTAAAGTCCTTAACCGAGCAAGCTTTGGATAAATTATTTAGAAGTTTTTTAAAAGACTTTTTCTTAGTCAATATCGTCACGATATCGAAAACGTTGAAATTGAGTCAAGGCAGGGACGTATATACTGTCCCTGGTCAAGGTCATCAATTTAACGATACCCCAGCCTTTACTCCACTGAGCATGCTTCGTGCCAAACAATCAATCACATTCATTGAGCAATTTGTTTACAGTTTTTCACATATCATGACATATTCGATATTGAAAGTGGTAAAGGTCATCAATTTGAACAAACTTTACAGTAGCGGAACTGAACTGTGTCTATTGTCGGCGACCAGGTACAGTAGCTCAATTGGTAGAGCGTCAGCTGGAGTTCGGAGGGTCCCGGATTCGAACTCCGGTCTGGCCGTGTATTTTTCCTCTCTTGTTACAGCGCTGCTGTGACCAACCTTTGTTTCAAGTATTTGGTGTATACATGCTTGGCAAGGGGATACCCGAACCTTGGTTGTAAATAATTGTGTATTCGTGGGCGAAGACTTAGAAAAAGGAGGGAGGAATGTACCAGTACTGGACTGGGTCGATCGTCGGGGACCAGGCATCCCAGCATGTTACTGGCCAACTATCATCACCCTAGTCCTTTTAGTTATTCAGAAGATGTTTAAAGATGTTTTAAGACAATTGACCCACGTGATCTTGAATTTGGGTGAAGGTCATTCATTTGAACATATTTGGTAGCACTTTATCCCAGCATGCTTCTAGTCAAATATCATCACCTGATTGGTTATTGAGAAGAAGTCGCGTGAAGAAAAAAGTTAATGCCAGACGGATGTAACCTAAAAATATAGTCCATTTTTGAAAGCGTTTAAAATAAGTAACATGTTTATTTCTCTGCATTCATATTCAGAATACTGAATAGAATAAAATTGATTTGTATGACTTAAAAATAATGCTCGAACTTTCATAATATCAAAGCTCCCATGAACTGCAGAAAGATTGAAATGTCATTACAATCAGAATCTTCCTTTTTAACACACCAGTTTGGAAGCAAATATATCTACTTTCCATTTTGAGTATTTTGATATGAAAAAAAGGAATTTTCAACAGAGTTTGGCTCCATCAGATGGCAGTTTCATGAAAGTTCCTTTATCTGAGGAAATCTTATAATTTAAATTTCAAAACTGGGGCCTGCTAGCTTCCAAGGTGTGATTTTTCATCGAACCGGATCTTAGACCTCTTACTGAAATTGTTCGATTCTTCTATAGAGAATGATCCATTTCTAAGACTTGATTTATCAAACACGACAGCCTAGTGGTCTTCCAGCCATTGTCTGGATGGACTATGCAATATTGCCTTGTGAATTTTGAAACGACCTACTTAAAAACAATGAGATTTCTGTACCGTCAGCTATGATTAACAACCTATTCATTGTGTCTAAGATCGTTAATGACCTACATATACACCGGATACTTGGATTTGACCTAGAAGAGGCTTACATTTCCAGAACATCTGGTCTTACTATCTTAGATGTTTTTTTCAAGTCTTCATAATTATTTTCCTTTGTTAATACTTTGTGAAAATTCTATCGATTTTGAGTTTAAACAAGAGGCCCAGAGGGCCTGTATCGCACACCTGTTTCTTATGTTACTGTATAGGACGGACACCGGATATAGCTAATACCGAAGCGTAGAGACAAATAAAGAAGCACGACAGTCAAGCATAGACGTAATTCATATCTGAAAAAGGAGGCATGTAATTGTTTAGGTGTAGTTGCAATTTATTTACAAAAACAGTCTGCCTAGTCCCGCCACGGACTTAGATAACCGAATTCCGTGGTACCGCTAAATCTTCATTCGCAACAGCAAATATTGTCTTGACCTGACATTTGCCAGTAGATTATATACATTTATATGCTAAGATGATTTCTTATAGTTATGTAGTCATGATAATACACGAAGTCACTCTATATTATGCCTCTTTCTTTAGATATTGGTATAACTAATTTTGGCGGCGAACAGCAATACATTGTACGGCGAATAGGAATGTTTAAAATAACTGGTGTACGGCGAATAGTTCATATTGTATACAATATTCAAGTGAACACCTTGCCTAAATGTGACATATTTTGTTAAAGCTAAACTTAAACTAACGTTTCCCGATTATCGTAAATCTCCTACAGTGTAAAATGCATGTACATTATATTATCGTTCGTAAGTTGTAGAACACCAAAGATTACAAGAAACAACAATGCACTCAATACAGTTGTACAGGTAAGTCAAATAACCACTAGTCTACCTGTGCTGTAGATGAAAAGGAGAGGACAAAATGATAGTCGTGTGTCTGTTTTTCAGCCCTCAAAATATTAGGGTTGCAAAATATTTTTCTAAAGTACCAATTATAAAACAAAGTTTCAGACCATAATTTAAAAGTGCCTATTAAAAGTTGATGAAAATAAAGTTAGAATAGACTTTGAATTCTTGAGTAGGAATGAAACAGACTTTTCCCATTGCCTGTTAAAGGTATACATATTTTACACTTTCAGACGTCTGTTTTGCCTTTACCACTTGCTGTTTACAGATAACTGTGAATAAATTAGGGATATATCAACTTAACTATCCTATATTTCTTTGCAAATCTATATATTAGTGCAGATTATCACTACATCACCCTTAACATTTCTTGTGTAACCCCTCCCCTTGTATATTAACGTTGTGACATGGAAATAGTATGTCACCTTCTGCCAAATTCCAACTCTCCACGCTATTGTCAAGGTCACAGCTAAAGTTCCAACCAACACTCCATTGCTATTGCAAAGGTCACAACTAAAGTTCCAACTCTCCACCGCTATTGCCAAGGTCACAGCTTAAGTTCTAACTCTCCACCGCTTTTGACAAGGTCACAGCTTACGTTCTAACACTCCACCGCTATTGGCAAGGTCACAGCTTAAGATCTAACTCTCCACCGCTTTTGTCAAGGTCACAGCTAAAGTTCCAACCATCACTCCATTGCTATTGCAAATGTCACAACTAAAGTTCCAACTCTCCAACGCTATTGCCAAGGGCACAGCTTAAGTTCTAACACTCCTCCGCTATTGCCAAGGTAACAGCTTAAGTTCTAACACCCCACCGCTATTGCCAACGTCACAGCTTAAGTTCCAACTCTCCACAGCTATTGCCAAGGTCACAGCTTAAGTTCTAACTCTCCACCGCTTTTGTCAAGGTCACAGCTTAAGTTTCAACTCTTCACAGCTGTTGTCATGGTCACAGCTTTTGTTGTGTTATAGCATGTGAAAAATGGGTACTCCTTATCATTATTTAACTCAACGTTCATTAGACTTTCGACATTCTTAACTCCTTCCCTTTACGATATCATTCAAAAGTGTTACAAAACAACATCATTGGTATGTTACTCCAATGGTATAACAACATAAAAACGTAGCTTGTACAAATGCTTGCTCTAAACATGGTTATGTTAGTATAGCTATTCGCCGTACTGTTTACATGCTAGTCGCCGTACACTTGAAAATGTATCAGCAACTATTCGCCGTACACAGACGAAAAAACCCATTTAAGTCAATTACATCGTAATGACTACATTTAGACATATGACCATTATATGTTTTATCACGGTTTCCTCTACATATGCAACGTCTGTTTTATCATCGTATATGTCATACTTTAATAGTTATCTCTTCTTCTTTCTTTGTAAATGATTTTGTACTGGTACTTTGTAGTCATTTTTTACCAATATCTTCAGATCGCATGAAATAGTTTACAAATCATCTGCATCACATACATCATTGTTCATTGTATAACTAATGTGCTCCTTTATTTGTCTCTACGCTACCAGAAAATACCATCGGAAAACATCATGTGGCTTGTCTACGCCAAGCGTCCATGCCCGCTTCGGTACTAGCTATATCCGGTGTCAGTCCTGCACAGTGATATACTTAAGACTAAATTTGGTAACTAGAACACAAGACATTTTAACATCTCTTAAACGGTTCTGAAGATATTGTTGTTTGAAACTTGAAATTTTAATTTGAAATTTTTATTTTAAAGCTTTCAACCCATATTGACCTTTGACTCCCGACTTGCATTTAAAGTTGACCTTTGACCTCATTACTGTAATTATGAAAACAATTCACACAGCTGGTCTACATAACATACCCAAGTATCATGACTCTAGTCCAAATGGTTCTTAGGATATGGTCATGTAAAGTTTGCAACATTTTTGACCCCTGTGACCTTGAAAGTAGCTATAGGTCAAGGTAATTTTAATGAGGAACTTTATAGCACTTCATCCCAGGTACCTACTGGCCAAATATCATGACTCTGAGCCTTATGGAATTTGAGAAGAGGATTGTTAAAGCTTTTAACCCATGTTGACTTTTGACCCCCAAATAGAACTTAAAGTTGACCTTTAACCTCATTACTGTAATAAGAAAAAAAAAAATCGCACTTTTGGTCTTCATAACATACCCAAGTATCATGACTCTAGTCCAAATGGTTCTTACAATATTTTTGTTTGAAGTTTTTAACATATTTGAGCCCTGTGACCTTGAAAGTAGGTCAAGGTAATTTTAATGAGGAACTTTATAGCACTCTATCCCAGGTACCTACTGGCCAAATATTATGACCCTGAGCCTTATGAAATTTGAGAAGATTGTTAAAGCTTTTAACCCATGTTGACATTTGACCCCCAAATAGCACTTAAAGTTGACCTTTGACCTCATTACTGTGATTAAGAAAAAGATTCGCACTGCTGGTCTACATAACATTACTGAGTATCACGACTTTAGTCCAAATGGTTCTTAGGATATTGTTGTTTGAATTTTTGAACATATTTGAGCCCTGTGACCTTGAAAGTAGGTCAAGGTCATTTTAATGAGAAATCTTTATAGCACTCCATCCCAGGTACCTACCGGCCAAATATCATGACCCTAGGTCCTCTAGTTCTTCAAAAGAAGTAGTTTAAAAGAAAAAGTTGACAGACGGACGCCGGACGCTGCAGTATGGCATAAGCTCACATGGCCCTTTGGGCCAGGTGAGCTAAAAAAACTCTGGTCCAACCAGTTCAACCGTTTGGATCACCTTTAGGTCTCTCTGGTATTACCGGTGGAGGACTTATAATTGCATATAGAAATATAATTAAAATCTGAACAGTTTAAACATTCTTAATATTGAATCACTCATTTTATATAAAAAATGAACATTTCATTTATGTAAATATGGCTTTATTGTGTTGCAGTTCATAATAATACATGACAACAAATACAAAACAGTTTGACATTTCATATTGGTGTTTATGGATCATAAACAAGTTTTAAAATCGCTGTTGACAATTTTCAGTAGAATAAATTGTTCATATACCATCAGGCAAAAATGTATAAATAGTCTACAGATAGTACTTAACATGTCCATTTCCTTTCATACTGAAACATTGAAACCTCAATTCCTTGTCTGGATGATCTCCTCCATTTCAACACACATACATTCAGTTCACACTTTTTTCTGCATCTTCATCATCAACTTAACTATAACTTATCCAGAAGTATTGTCAGTTCTCACAGGACGTCTTAAGCAGATAATCTTGGTAAACTGTCCCTGTAAAAGAAATCACATGATCACCAGGGCAGATGTTTTGCAGTAAAATTCACAAGAACACTTGACCAGGTGTTCTCTGGTAAAGCCACATGATCACCTAGCAGTAAATAGTCACATGACCACCTGGCCAGGTGCTCACTGGTAAAGTCACATGATCACTTAGCCAAGTTAGCAGTCATATGATCACTTGGTCAGGTGTTTTCTGGTAAAGTCACATGATCACTTGGCCAGGTGTTCTCTGGTAAGCAATCACATAATCATGTGACCAGTAGCTCCCCGACAGTAACACCATCACTTAGCCAGGTGTACCCTATTGAAGAGTCTGTCTTTGATCACCTGTGACATCAGACCGAGGATAGATTCCATTGTCGGTTTACACCTGTAAATCAATGAAATATAATTATTCTACAGTAATATTCCTTATAGAAAGATAATCTTCATAGAATGTTTTAAAGCAATAGGAGCATACTGCTGTATGTTGTGTTTAAGAGATATTGATTTTTATGAATGTCGGCTACTAAATCTTTTGAATAAATGGACAAAATACTTGTTTCTTTTATGTCATAGATTCTTCATAAATTTGTTCAATCTAGCAGGATACAACCCTATGTGAATAGGATATTTAGTTCCCCCAGGAATATTTTGACTCCCATGGTTAATATTTAGCTCCAATGTGGAATTTCTTGACTCCCTTATTTTATAGAATATCTAGCTTCTCTGTGGGGTATTTTGGCTCCCCATTGGGATGTTTGGTAGCATGGAGATTAACCCTTTCACCACTATGTCACTTTAGTAGACACTACCATGCATTGATATGGATGAGTTCATTATGGTCTATAGTGGTGAAAGGTTTAGAACAACCTAAAGGCAGATAACTTTGATGGTCTTTGGAATGGTTGACACATATGCTCTTCCTTGTTTTATCGGGGATCAAAAACAATATCAGTTCAAATTTTAAGACTTGCATCAGAGTACTAGATAGAGACTATAACGGTAAGAGATTCTTTTACATTTAAATCACTAAAAGATATGTTCTATCGAGAAATTCTCTGAGGCTTGGCTACCTACCCATCCTTCGTTGCCTTCATCAATTTATCCTCAGACTTTTTCTCATGCGAGTCCATGCCAAGCATGAACCCTCCACGGCCCAGCTGAACCTCGGACTGCTCTAGCTTGTCCGCCAGGTCAAATATCTGACCAGTTGTGTAGTCTGCATTCTGTAGAATAGTTCATACAGTCGATAAATATTACAATCAAGTGTTATACCATATCAGACCCTATAGGAACCTCTAGCTTGTTACTGGTAGCCACAAGTACACTACAAAACCTTCCAAAATTCTCAATTCAGAAAACATAGCCATAATGGATACTTTTTCAAGTACCTGGTGAGTCAGTAAGTTATGATGAATGGATACAATAGTAGGACAAAAAAAAGGATCTGGGATGCTTACTAGGTTGAATGTGGTAATCACAAGGGCATTGGCCTATATAAGGGGTACCTTAATAAACTACAGTACAGGTATTCAATAAGTGTTTTTCTTTTTTATTTGCAAAATCTTCATGTTACATGTAATTTGGTAATAGGTGTCTATTCATGTGAAATTATGAACAAAATAAAATATGACTGAAGTCTGATTCTAGTGTACAATTATGATCCATTTTGTTTCCACTGTCCCTACCTACTCCAATATAAATACCTACATCATACAGGATTTTTCTTTTGCAAATTTCAAACAAGTAAGTGATTAATCTGAGTCACTGACACAATATAACTGTTCAAAGTTTCTTTACCTAGGTAACCAAATATTTTGACAACTGAAAACCGAAACATAGTAAAAAAATGTTTTTTAAAGAATTAAAAAGATAAGACTGAATTGTTTTTAGTGAAACTATCAATTAATACTCGTTCAAATATATTGCATTCTGCTACATTATTTTCAAAATCTGTCCAGCATCATAACTGTTGTTATGGATCACCTGTTTTGGAAAAAAACACACTAAAACCTAGTGTAATGAATATATTTATTTCCATTAAGTAATCAGTTTTAATTTCTTTAGAAGTAACAAATCTGTCAGCAAGTGGAATTGGAGAAAATAATTGCCATATGTACTTACAGTGAGTAGACTGGAAGAGCTTAACGTGTTCACCCAGTACTTGTTCCATAGAGATTCCAGGAGTTTCCTATCCAGGGAAGACTTGAAGTAGGAAATCTCTAGAGCATAGTACCTGCAAGAATAATACATCACATTAGAGTGGATCTACACAAAAAAAGTTAAAAAGGAGCCTAAAAATATATTATATATCACACTTGTGCTAGAGTTATCTCCCTTGAATTTTTAACCATCATTTTGATATTTATTGTAGAAATAACTATGGGTGTTCGTAATCCAGGTATCGTTGTGCACATTCTTTTGTGGTTTCCAATATACCATCAGTTAATCAAATATGTCCTGACAACCAAATAGATTATTTCAACTTTTAAGTGTGGATTTTATTCAGGGAGTGGTGCTTTTTTACGGTAATTACGGTAGCACATTATGGTGGTTTTAGTGTTCAGAGCTATTGGCATTTAAATGAACCCACTCCTGTGGAAGGCAAAATAACTTAAATATTGCTGAGCAATATCAATTCCCTTGATCATTATAATTTAATTTGTGGGATGACATGGTTTGACTTTTGACACCACATATTTTTGTGGTGCAGAATGTAATGCTCTATTTATAGTAACAGTGACATTTACCATGGATCTTCAAACCTGAAAAGCAATTCCAACCAAACATTTTCCATAAGGGAGCTAGCTATGTTATAGAAACCAACTCTCTGTTTATGGTAAGTGACATTCACTTTTGACCTTCTGACCTGATCCAAAGCAAACATTTTTGTTAAGGGGCCCGGGTCATCCATGAAGATTGAGTGTTAAAGGGCATATGCAACTGAGTTATTGCATAGAAACCAATCTTCTTTTTATAACATCAGTGACCTTGACCTGTTACAATGTTCATCCGTGTCTCTCATGTTTTGTCCATCAGACTACAAACTGTTAGCAATGTATACGTACATACCGTGGTCCTGTATTTCTATGAAGTAACTAGCTATAGCTACTCACTGTTTACAATGAACACCAAAGTCTTCTATCTTGTTGAGTGGAATGGACTGATACTCTGAGGGATTTTCCTCTGGAGGCTTATATCCCTGAAACAAAACTTGATGATGTAGGAAATACCTTGAACTGTTCTGCTATCATTATTATGCTTCAGCATATTTTTAGGTCACCTGAGACAAAGTCTCAAGTGACCTATTGCGATTGCCTTTTGTCCGTCGTCGTCTGTCGTGCGTCGGTAAAGAATTTACATTTTCAACTTCTTCTCCAAAACCCCTGAACCAATTTCAATGAAATTTTGCAGAAACCTTTCATGGCCAAAGGTCAACAAAAATAGTTGTCGGTTTGGTCCCCGGCCCCCAGGGGCCTAAGGGGCGCGGCCAAAAAGGGTCGAATTGACTTAAATTTCAAAAATCTTCTTTTCAAGACCCAGATATGGTAGAATCAAATACTCTTCATAGATGGAAGGGTCTTTAGGTGCCTTACCAAAATTGTGAATTTCATGACCCTGGGGTCTCACGTTTACCCCTGGGGAGGGGGTAAACTTTACTATAGTGCAAATAGGGAAATCACATTTTGGACCAATATTTGTTTAATTTCCATTGGAAGTAATTAAATTTAGGTTAGTATTATCAGTATTGGGTAGCAGTTTGATGGTATGCACATATGAGCCCTGACTGACTCCCCGGGGCTGATGGGAGGGGCCCAAAAAGGGTCGAATTGACTGAAATTTCAAAAATCTTCTTCTCAAGACCCAGATATGGTAGAATCAAACACTCCTCATAGATGAAAGGGTCTTAAGGTGCTCTACCAAAATTGTGAATTTCATGACCCTTGGGTATCACGTTTCCCCCTGGGCAGGGGGTAAACTTTACTTTAGTTTATATAGGGAAATCACATTTTGGACCAAAATTTGTTTAATTTCTGTTTGTGGTAAAAACAAAATCAACTCTCTGTATAAATATATCAGGTGACCGTTAAGGCCCATGGGCCTCTTGTTTTTTTTAATTGGATTTCAAGATTTGGTAGCTTTCCATAAATTTCGATTCTCAGATGAAGAATTTTTCTTTGGGAATAGTTGAGAAGGTTAAAATCATAATAACATCATATATAATGGTTGTATTTTAAGTATGCAAAGACAGTTATCTGTAAATGGATACCTATAAGCTAGCAATATATTATTCCGGTGTTCATTCTGGCTATTATGACTTAAACAGAGTATGAAGTCATTGGTCAGTTGTATGAGGAATTTCGGTTCAGAACCTCAGCAGAGCCTCATTTCCGAATTCTATATCCTCAAGGAGAATTCCCCTACCCCTCATACCTAAACATGATGTCTTAACGATGGAGAACTCCCCTACCCCCCATACCTAAATATAATGTCTTAACGACGGCGAATCCTCCAACCCCCATACCTAAACATGATGTCGTAACGACGGCGAATCCTCCAACCCCAATACCTAAACATGATATATTAACGATGGAGAATCCCCCTATCCCCATACCTAAACATGATGTCTTAACGACGGCAAATCCTCCAACCCCCATACCTAAACATGATGTATTAACGATGGAGAATCCCCCTATCCCCCATACCTAAACATGATGTCTTAACAATGGACAATCTCCCTATTCCCATACAAAAACATGATGTATTGACGATGGAGAATCCCCCTATCCTCCATACCTAAACATGATGTATTAACGATGGAGAACCCCCTTATCCTCCATACCTAATCATGATGTATTAACGATGGTGAATCCTCCAACCCCCAAACCTAAACATGATGTATTAACGATGGAGAACCCCCTATGCTCAATACCTAAACATGATGTCTTAACAATGGCTAATCCCCCTATCCTCCATACCTAAACATGATGTCTTAACGATGGAGAATCTCCCTATCCCCATACCTAAACATGATGTCTTAACGATGGAGAATCCCCCTACCCCCATACCTAAACATGATGTCTTAACGATGTAGAATCCCCCTATCCCCATACCTAAACATGATGTATTAACGATGGCGAATCCTCCAACCCCCATACAAAAACATGATGTATTAACGATGGAGAATCCCCCTATCCCCATACAAAAACATGATGTATTAACGATGGAGAATCCCCCTATCCCCCATACCTAAACATGATGTCTTAACGATGGAGAATCCCCCTATCCCCATACAAAAACATGATGTATTAACGATGGAGAATCCCCCTATCCCCATACAAAAACATGATGTATTAACGATGGAGAATCCCCCTATCCTCCATACCTAAACATGATGTATTAACAATGGAGAATCCCCGTACCCCCATACCTAAATATGATGTATTAATGATGGAGAATCCCCCTATTCCCCATACCTAAACATGATGTATTAACAATGGAGAATCCCCCTATCACCATACCTAAACATGATGTATTAACGATGGAAAATCCCCCTATCCCCCATACCTAAACATGATGTATTAACGATGGAGAATCCCCGTACCCCCATACCTAAACAGGATGTATTAACGATGGCGAATCCTCCAACCCCCATACCTAAACATGATGTATTAACGATGGAGAATCCCCCTATGCTCCATACCTAAACATGATGTATTAACGATGGAGAATCCCCCTACCCCCATACCTAAACATGATGTATTAACGATGGAGAATCCCCCTACCCCAATACCTAAACATGATGTATTAACGATGGAGAATCCCCCTATTCCCCATACCTAAACATGATGTATTAACGATGGAGAATCCCCCTACCCCCATACCTAAACATGATGTATTAACGATGGAGAATCCCCCTATTCCCCATACCTAAACATGATGTATTAACAATGGAGAATCCCCCTATCACCATACCTAAACATGATGTATTAACGATGGAGAATCCCCCTACCCCCATACCTAAACATGAGGTATTAACGATGTAGAATCCCCCTATCCCCCATACCTAAACATGATATATTAACCTTAGAGTAAGTAGTCAAGGTCAGTCTTAGCTACTTACTTTTGTGGGTACATACCTAGTAGTCAGTTATACTACTTACCTTTGAGAATATAGTCATTGGTCAGCTGTATTTATACCTACTTATACTGTACCTCAGGGTACATAACTAGTGGTCAGTTATACTACTTACCTTTGGGTATAAAATCATTGGTTAGCTGTATTTATACCTACTTATACTGTACCTCAGGGTACATAACTAGTGGTCAGTTATACTACTTACCTTTGGGAATAAAATCATTGGTTAGCTGTATTTATACCTACTTATACTGTTCCTCAGGGTACATAACTAGTGGTCAGTTATACTACTTACCTTTGGGTAGGTCCTGAAAGCTCCTATATTGACTTTGCCAGCTGATATTGTTCTCACAGGATCCACCTTTGATGAGAGAAAATTCATTATATGAATCTTGGTAGATTTATAGCATAAATAAAGTTTGAGCATGGTGAAGAACCATTGTATCTATAGATCATGAAATCGTTTAATGAATTCCTTAACACATATGACCATATCAGGGTGTAAATTCTTCTAGCCTGACAGCCTGTGCTAGGATATTGTGTTCATAGGAAGGTTAAAATGATAAATGGATAAAAAGATTTTTAATATTCACAATAAAACATAGAATCATTCAATGGGTATTTAAAAAAAAAAATCTATATGCAGTTTTCAATGATTAAAACTGAATGCTCTTGTCATATAAAATACACAATACATATCCAGCACATACGAAGGCATACACACATAGGGAGATATTAGCCAGGTGGCATAGGACGAGTCGTTAGCGTCTGATAAGGCAGCTCCTGCGAATCCCTCAAAATTGTATTGATTAATGCATTTGTTAATGTATATGCTAATTGTATTTATTGTATATCTATGTACTGTAAAGCGCTTTAGAGTGGCTTATGTTAGCTAGATAGGGCGCTATATCAAATGTATACTATTATTATATACAAACACACATACTGTACATACACAGAAGTTAAACATTTCCTTTTCACATCACTTTAACTTGAGTTATGTCACCCACTCTTTCTAACGCAACAAAATAAAATAACTTGAACGTATACATATACATACAAATTCAGTTAAGCTGTAATATAACTTAAACTTCTATCCATATCCTCAAAAGATGAAAAGAGTTAAGGAGATCAGCAACATTAGTGCCACAATTGCAAGTATCTTACTTTTAAACTATCATGTTATTTTATGTTAATTACTGACATGAACAGAATTTTCAATTAAATATAATGACAGACAAATACCTTCTGTAACACTGAAAATCTTAAATATAACCAGCTCTCCTTCACTTGGTGTATTATTTTCAGTGACTATTGCCCGGTAATAGTTGATCATAAACTTTTATGGTTAGTCTATTTTGAGATGTCTCTTAAATAAATAACCCATATTTAGTAATACATGTATTTAGTGTTTTATTTAGGTACAGGATCTCATGTAGTAAATTATATTAGAAGAATCTAGCTGTAAGACCCATACTCAGTTTGAATAATTTGTAAAATAGAGTTTAAAGATACATATACAATTATGGTTAATATAATTTGAATAACATTGTTAGGTTATCTCCCCTTAGACTTTATGTATTGTAATTAATACAGGATTTAGGTAAACACCAATGATTAAATATGTGCACAGGCTCTGGTGTATATTGTATAAAAATAGTTCAATCTTTCAAATTGTTCATTTTGCATTCAAAAATAATGAATTAATTATACGAAAATAAAAATCCAAAGAATTGGTCACAAATTTTCGCAACTTCCATTGTGCTTAGCCAGCCTGTTTGCATTGTCTATATATAACTGTAAATTGATGGCAAATTTTGCCAAACATGTTCGGTGTCATGATCACCAGTGTGGAATCTCCAGTGTTAATGTGTGTATACTGGCGAGGGTTACTAAGTAATCTGTGATGATAGCAGGTATAAACAATCACTTCAAACTTCAAAGCCAACCAGCAGAACTGGTTTGACCCCATACTTACAACAATGGCAACAAATGGTTCCTGGAACTGCTGATTCAACATCTGTGTACTGACGTCTATCCCCGACAACCAGCACCCGTAACCAGGGTGACTGTGGTACCAACCAATGGCATTCTCCAGCCTTCCAACCTGTAACGTCATCATTACAATATAAATATATATGGTATAAGGTCTTCCGTAAATTACAATACACCATTGTTACTAAAGTGCCTCATGACACATGCAAGCCTTTTCAAAGAGACAATTTAAGGTAACAATGCAGAATTCTGAACAGCACACTGGTTCAACATTTGTTACCTTTATTGAATTTAATTTCCTATAAATATATACCCACAAAAACTGAATTTAAAAAATGTTGCAAAGCATGTGTGATGTATATTTCAAAACCTCTAACATGACCTTATAATCTTGATTGCTTTGCCTGGTATAGATAACCTATCTCAGGGTACAGACCGTTTTAGCCGACTCTGTGTAGGCAGCCATGTATTCGTAAGCTTGAGCTTGGGCGTTGACTCTAGTCTCTGTTCCCTCCACTGGTAGAGCAAAGCTATCCATTACAATCATGGTGTTTCCATCAACCTTGCCTAGCAGCAGACCCATGACCTCCAGGTTGCCCCCTGACCTCGCATGCATTACCATCTTCAGAAGGGCAAGAGCTGAGATCTTTATATGCTTGAAGTAGTGAGGACTGCAAAATATTATCATATATACTTTATAAGCAAAAAAGTATTGAAAAGACAAGGAGACATTTTTAGTTCATTTCCCGTGCTAATTATGTGCTTTTGTGTGTTTTGTAATGATGTACACATTGTGATTATTAACATACTTGCCAACCTTTTAAATTTTTCATATGGATGGAAATTGCAAGGAAGTTTTGAATTTTGATTATAAATAGTGTAAAATATAGTTAGCTTTTGTGGATGCATTGAAGTTGATTCAAGCAAAAATGATTTTAAAATTTGAAAACTCCAATACTACATGTATAAACCTAAAAACACACTAGTTGGCCATGGTAATTGTTAGTAAACTCATGATCTGCAAAACATTTCCTGCAATTTTAACGTTATGTTGTTTCTGACAACCTGAAATCTGGGAATGGACAGACAGAAGTTGACAGTACTAAAGATGGTCGGTCACCTTTCTTGTTAAAAATTACAAAAATATATACTTGTAAAATGTATGTTTATTCTTCCTGAAAAAAAATAAAAAATACTTCTGAAATATGGCAGTATATGGAAATATGGGGACCTCAGGAAACAAATACACACGGTATGTGTGTGTTGGTGGTGTGCAAGACCTTGCAGTGAGGCTGGGAAGACAATTCCGCAGGAGCAAGACGTAAGCTGTGTCGAAAACTATGTGGCATGGATGCCAGACAACACTGACCTATTCTGAGCCTGAAATGTTAATACATGTAGCAGTCTTCTAGGGCAAGGATGACAGATTTGTTTACATGAATGAAAATAAAGGTGCAGTTACAGATACTGGCACAAATGAACAGTATATATGTAGTTGTAGTGGCATGGATAGGCCAATTGATTCAATCCCATGAGTTATTGGTCTGAGGAAGTTAAGGAATTAACTAAACTGTAACACTTGAACTGTCAGATCAAATGAAGGGCATCATCATGTGCAAGATTAGAGAACACATGTTGCAGGTGTTACATAAGAGCTAAAATGCACGGCCAGGATTTGAATTCAGGGGGACCTCTGAACTCAACTTCCTGGTCACTGGCGATTGACCCAACCCTGTTTACTACCTTTCTCCCTCCTTCTCCTCATTGGCGATTGATCCAACCCGTTTACTACCTTTCTCCCTCCTTCTCCTCACTGGCGATTGACCCAACCCTGTTTACTACCTTTCTCCCTCCTTCTCCTAAGTGTTTACCCTCGAAGGCAACACTATTTACAGCTAAGGCATCCCCTTGTCAAGTACACTATGGTTGGTAACATGACATCACATTTGTGACAGGAAAGGAAAATGCACACCCTGAATGAGATTCGAACCAGAGACGGGATTGCATAAACATATTTGCAGGTCCGCCAGGATTTATACCAGAATATTTACATTTATAAACGGTCAAACCGGTTGTTCCGCATAGCGAACAGGCCCCTAGTCGAAACAAGGTGTGTGTGTGTAGTGGTGGGGGTAACAAAAGGGACATTCTTTTGCATTTTTAGAACGTAAAATCTTATACTACTTTGAAAACAATATTTCAATAAGGTAATCACTTCTATTCAATCTGAACTATCATCTAGGTTTTAAAAACATTTGTTACGTTTTTATTTTCAACAGAAACGTTATATTTCCGTCAAGAAAACCGACCAGCGGTGTTTTCCTTTGCAACAACAGGGGTGACAGAGAACTTATGGAGACTGCAGTGTGCTTAGCAACTCACTCCTTTTCCCATGGTTTCGCCGTTAAAATGTCCTGCTGTTGTTGCTTGTCATATCTGTATATTTCGTCATGTGAGTTGACATTTTCTATATTATTGCTAAACTCCCATGTCTTCTGTGCGTTCTTAGAATCCATTGCGGCCATATTGCCTCTACTCCGATGATGTTCTGTATAATTTACGAAACGGAATACGGGTTTACAAATTACACGGAAACGTTAATCGGAGTCAAAGTCATCATATTTTGTTTCTCCTAATGGGAACAGTACATCATACTAAACTGTTTAATTGTGATTCCTAACTATTTACTTATTAATGACGAGTCTTGAATAATTGGGAGAAACACATTGTGAGGATAGGTCTAGTAAATAATCTGGCGAGCGATATTGTAATTTTCACCACGGACTCTAATCTAATTCCGTGCTTTCACAGTATAGTTTTAAACATAAATTTAGTCTACTGTAGTTTGGAAGACTTTTTACAATAAAGGATGTTTGAAATAGAAAATATGTACATCAAAATTGAAATAGATCTACTTGGATAGGGAAACAAAATAATTAAAAAACATATTTTTTTGAATTCAGGTCGTTTAGGTACCCGGTCGTTTCGGTATTTCTGAAAGTCGTTTCGGTACTTCTGAAAATCATTTCGGTACTTATAGTGGAAAACAAATTTTGGTACCAAGTTTTAGTCAACGTCACCACTTTTTGCGTGCTGTATACCTTCAATGGAAGTAACTCTAAGTGTGGAGTCAAACTTGTGCTAACAATACACGTGTTTGTATCAGTTTGTTATTTTAATTTGCTCATGTTTCTAATATCTTGCTCTTGGCCTAACCATTGGTCACTGGTAACCGGATGTCATATCGCGAGTTACACTTCACCTACGCCATATATTGGATATACGGTTCGCTGCATTCAATAATCCTGTCCTGTTCAAAACATTATTATGCCACGAGAAAAAATCGAAAATCAACGTAATATTAAACCCGTAGCTAGCTGAGATTTACATGCGGTTTGGGGTGCTACATTGAATGTAAACTTGAATGATTAAGTTTAGAAAACACCAAACATCGAAAGATTGCACATCGTGGCTGTGTTTACATATCGGGAATGATTCTTGCTTCAGGAGAACACGAACTCCGTTTTGGTTCTTCAGACAATTTCAAAAAAGTTTTCAGAAATTAACTATTTGATTATATTTCTAACCAGGAAATTAAAATGAGGTTGTTACAATACATACAAAGTTTCATAATTTAGCTCTGAAAATACAGGTTTTTCGGGGTTCGACGATTTACAGGAACGGGCAGAAACGGGCAGAAATGGGCAGAAACGGGCAGGAACGGGCAGAAACGGGCAGGAACGGGCAGTAATCTATTAATAATTATATACATTAATGAATATATATATTAGATACATTTAAGTATCATTATCGGGTATAAGATCTATTTGATAAAAGGATTGCAATTACATGATCGGGGCAGAATCGGACTAAATTATATATATACATTTATGACGATATTACTTATGATACCTACATTTATAGTATCATATATTTTTTTATCGGGTATAAGATATATTTGATAAAAGAATTGCAAGGAATTAAGAGTGTTGTATTGATATGGATCGGGCAGGAACGGGCGACGATTTACAGGAACGGACAGAAACGGGCGACGATTTACAGGAACGGACAGAAACGGGGGAGGATCGGACTTATTTATATATATTTATTGTATATATTTAATTATCCTTTTCGGGTATAAGGTATATTTGATAAAAGAATTGCAATTACATGATCGGAGCATAATCGGACTGAAATATATATATATATATATGTCGTCATTACTTACGATACCTATATTGATATTATTATATAATTTTTATCGGGTATAAGATATATTTGATAAAAAGATTGCATCGAAATAAGAGTATTGTATTGATATGGATCGGGCAGGAACGGGCGACGATTTACAGGAACGGACAGAAACGGGCGACGATTTACAGGAACGGACAGAAACGGGGGAGGATCGGACTTATTTATATATATTTATTGTATATATTTAATTATCTTTTTCGGGTATAAGGTATATTTGATAAAAGAATTGCAATTACATGATCGGAGCATAATCGGACTGAAATATATATATATATATTTATGTCGTCATTACTTACGATACCTATATTGATATTATTATATAATTTTTATCGGGTATAAGATATATTTGATAAAAAGATTGCATCGAAATAAGAGTATTGTATTGATATGGATCGGGCAGGAACGGGCGACGATTTACAGGAACGGACAGAAACGGGCGACGATTTACAGGAACGGACAGAAACGGGGGAGGATCGGACTTATTTATATATATTTGTTGTATATATTTAATTATCCTTTTCGGGTATAAGGTATATTTGATAAAAGAATTGCAATTACATGATCGGAGCATAATCGGACTGAAATATATATATATATATATATGTCGTCATTACTTACGATACCTATATTGATATTATTATATAATTTTTATCGGGTATAAGATATATTTGATAAAAAGATTGCATCGAAATAAGAGTATTGTATTGATATGGATCGGGCAGGAACGGGCGACGATTTACAGGAACGGACAGAAACGGGCGACGATTTACAGGAACGGACAGAAACGGGGGAGGATCGGACTTATTTATATATATTTGTTGTATATATTTAATTATCCTTTTCGGGTATAAGGTATATTTGATAAAAGAATTGCAATTACATGATCGGAGCATAATCGGACTGAAAAATATATATATATATATGTCGTCATTACTTATGATACCTATATTGATATTATTATATAATTTTTATAGGGTATAAGATATATTTGAAAAAAAAAATTGCAACGAAAAAAGAGTAATGCTTATTGATATGGATCGGGGCAGGATCGGACTCTGTGTTTCCTTCATTCCTTCATTCTCTCTTTCTTTTAATTTTGTGGTTAATCTGTACAGACATAACGGGGAGACGAGATATTTATCTATTTCTGTATCAATTCATTGCATTGATCAACACTAAAATAAACACACCTTGAAACATATTATCGACACTATAAAATGAGACATTCACTATTAAATTATTAGAGTTGAGTTGCATGCAATCATACACCGGTAGAGTATCTCATAATCTATCTGAAATGAAATCTAAAATCATAAAATTAAACATCTCTTTCCTAAAACGTATTCGTTTTTTCATATAAACATATACATGCGACTCAAGCAGTTAGAAATATAATAATCAGTCTCACTATATTAATTCTATTCATGTCACAAAATGGTGTTATTAAGATCACATGTATAAATTTAACAGGAAATATTTAGAAAATTTGAAATTACTTTTCAAAAATGTTAGTTATTCAATTTTGTTAAACATAACAGTATCAATTATATAACAATGCTGGAGAAGAACCTTCAGTTAAATTAGATACTCAAATACTATGAAATTCAAAAAGTATATGGATTGTATATGATTCGAAGTCCTTTCAATTACTTGATTAACTCACAGATAGTCTGTTTTGGACAAGCTAGATATTTTTCCAGATATAGTTCTCTGACCAATCTTATGAAGGATAGACGAGTAGGTTGTCATTAATCAATTCAAAAATTAAATAGATAAATAAAAGGAATTACATTACATCAATTCAGAGACGTATATATTACATATTACGTAATATATACGTATTTGATCATCCGAAAGCTAAATACTAAATGACATGAAAACTTGTTGTCTAATTCCGTGTTCAAACTTGATTCGACTCCCAGAGATACTGTATACATACACTTTTAATAACCATGAGTTTGTGACACTAATTAGGAAATAACAGAAATCTGTTATCTGGAGTACGGCTCCATTCTGGACTCGGGCAAATATCCCGGGTCTGTGCCCCCGGGCACTTAACAATCCAAGTTCCTGAAGGTACACTAATGAGGTGTATACTGGTACCGAATCTAAATCACAGCTACAGGTATATATATATATATTGGTTATGCAATGACGACGAAAACGGAGATAAATTTTGAATAGAATAGAGGATTTTCCCAAAAATTACTTAGTCAACTAAATTAGAACAGATGTTTAAATAATTTTATTATGCAATGAATGTTATAAACGTATTTACGTACATAGTTATAACAACTATCGATATACATGTTTATAATATGTATAAATATAGATTTGTTCCAATATATACTAAAGATACATGCTTGTGAAAAGTAAATCTACTCATACTAAATACTCGTCGAATTTATTTAATCAAATTTAAGTCTTGAAAAACATCAAGTTATATGAATGCATAACCACGGACTTTATCCAATTCCGTGTACAATATCTAATTTTAATTATAAAACATTATATCAACATGTATGTAAGTCCCAGGTATTGTTTATTTAGGTGGATTACAATGTTATAACAGCTTTTTCTCAGAAGTTAATTTAATAAATTGGTTTAGTGATAAAGATACTAAAAATTGTGCAACTGACTGCGATGAGCAACGTTTTACTTTTACGGGAGAAGGTTTTGAAAAGTTTTAACAATTTGTGACCACTACCTTGTACTATATGGTATAAAATGTACATATATGTCTATTGTCGCTATCACATTGTTGTAGTACAATTGTTGAGGAGAGGGCTTTAATAAGTTGTAATAACTTGTGCCCAATCCTCTTGTTTGAATTTAGAAGCAATACAATATGTTTTAATTAAAATGAAATATGTTGAACGAAAAAAGAATCTCAACGATTCCCAACCACTTGTACAGACCAAATCCCGCCTGATATTGAAAGCGAAGTTGATTGGCACACGAGACGTCTCTGACGAGACAGAGCTTACCAGACACATAGGAAATGTTCAAAGGAAATGTGTTCTATTTTGATGCACGTTCATATAAGACCAGAGAATACAAATTTGAAACGTTTTATTGTGGAAAAACGTCTGCGTTGCTGTCCGGTGATATACCATTGAATAATCTGTTCTTGACGTTTTACAGTTTTGAGTTTAGCTGGTGAATTCATTTTCTCAGCTTCATCAGACAAGATAATCATATATGTGTAATTAACCAATCTAAATTGTTCACTCGGCACGCGACGCCAATATTCAAAAGCCAACAAATTAACCATTTAGCTTATGTTATTACAAAG